TATTTAGGACATAGATTTTCAGAACTGAGACTTCATCCTGATGGATTTCTCCTGAGATGAATACAAAATGACCTTCTTCATCTCTTTTGATTTTGGTTTGAAGTCTAACTTGTTAGATATTAGGATAGCTACACCTGCTTGCTTCTTCGGTCCATTTGATTGGAAGATCTTTTCCCAACCCTTTACTCTGAGGTAATGTCTGTCTTTGAAGCTTAGATGTGTTTCTTCTATGCAGCACACAGATGGATTCTGTCTTCATATCCATTCTGTTAGCCTGTGTCTTTTTATAGGCGAGTTAAGACCATTAATGTTGAGGGAAAGTTAGGACCATTGATTGTTAATTCTTGTTTGTTTTAGATTTGTGGTTGACGTGGTATTGTGAATATATTTTCCTGCTTTATCCTTTGGGTTCTGGTGAAGCAGGATCTATTGACTATGTCTTTGTGAGCATTGTTAACTTCCTTGGGTTGGAGTTTTCCTTCCAGAACTTTCTGTAGGGCTGGATTTGTAGATATATATTGTGAAAATCTGGCTTTGTCATTGAATATCTTGTTTTGTCCAACTATAATGATTGAAAGTTTTGCTGGGTATAGTAGCCTGGGCTCATATTTGTGGACTCTTAGTACTTGTAGAACATCTATCCAGGATCGTCTGGCCTTGAGAGTTTCCATGGAGAAGTCAGGTGTAATTTTGATAGTTCTGCCTTTATATGTTACCTGGCCTTTTTCCTTTGCTGCTCTTAATATTCTTTCTTTATTCTGTATGTTGTTTTGATTATTATGTGTCAAAGGGTCTTTTGTTCTCTGGTCCAGTCTATTTGGTGTTCTGTATGCTTCTTGTACTTTCATGGGCATGTCCTTCTTCAGATTGGGAAAGTTTTCTTCAATGATTTTGTTGAGTATGTTTTCTGCACCTTTGAGCTGGGCTTCTTCACCTTCTTCTATGCCTATTATTCTTAGGTTTGGTCTTTTCATGGTGCCCCACATTTCCTGTATGTTTTGTGTTAAGAATTTGCTGGATTTAAGATTTTCTTTGGTAGATGAATCTATTTCCTCTAGTTTATCTTCAGCGCCTGAGATTCTCTTTGATCCCTTGTATTCTGTTGATTATGCTTGCATCTGTAGTTCCTGGGCTTTTGCCCAGTTTTTCTATTTTCAGGATTCCCTCAGTTTATCTTTTCTTTATTGTCTCTATTTCAGTTTTCAAGTCTTGAACTGTTTGAATTGTTTTCTTTGTCTGTTTGATTGTTTTTTCTTGGCTTTTCTTACTGTCTTTAAGAGATTTGTTCATTTCTTCCAATTTTTTGTTTGTTTTTTCTTCCATTTCTTTAAGGGATTTTCTCATATCATCTTTGAGGGCCTCTATCATTTTTATGAAGTTATTTTTTAATTCATTCTCTTCTGCTTCATCTGTTTTGGTGTGTTTAGGTCTAGTTGATGTAGGGTCCCTAGGTTATGGTGGTGTCATATTGGTCTTTCTACTGTTGGGTGTTTCCTTGTATTGCCATCTTCCCATTGCTTCTTCCAGTGGGTGCAGGTGGAGTCTCTCTCTCTCTCTCTCTCTCTCTCTCTCTCTCTCTCTCTCTCTCTGCCCTACTCTCCCGGTGGGTGTAGGTGGGTCAAGAGTTTGATGTCTGTAACTCTGGATGGTTCAAGTTCTCTAGAAGGTCTCTCCTCTTGCAGCGGACCAGTGATGGGGGTCCAAGTTCAGGTGGGCTGGGACTCAGGGTAGTCCTGCATGTATAGGCGGGTCCAGTGTGCTCAGAGTGCGGAGGTGGAACCTGCACTCTGGCCCAGTGCTCAACCAGAGCAGTGGAGCAGTGGACCCAATAGGACATAGGGTCCGGGAGGACAGGTTCTGAGTGGGGTGGTGTGTGGGTCAGAGTACTAGGATTGTACTATCTAGGGCCAAGATATAGGGTGGAGCAAGATTTGGGGCTAACCCAGGGAGTTCCCAGGGAAGGGTGTGGGGGTGATTTGGCCTGAACTGGCCCCAGACTCATCTCCAGCAGAGGCCTGGCAATGGAGTCAAAGATCAGGTAGGCAGGGACTCCAGATTAATGATTATTTTTCAGATTAAAGTTGATTCAGCAATCTACCATTATACCTCATTCGTGTATCCTGTCTTCCTTTTTCCTTCAGAAAAAGATCTCAACATTTTTGTTTAGCTTTTTTCTGACTATGTCCAATAATAACTTATAACCAACCACACTAAACAATTGATTGAATAGCCAAAACCTGTCCATACTCCATCTCCTGGGAATGTAGGCATTGTTCTCTGGACTACTTCCTGATATCTGTGGGCACTGGTATTTTGGGAGAACTCTGAAAAAGTCAGGATAATTGTTAGGTTTTAATTGAAGTACTTGTGTGGTTGGATCATCTCAGCCAGCAGCCTTGAAGTTGTTCTGGATACTGGACCACCTGGACCATCTGTTTTTATTAATGTTTGGTCTCCTTGCTCTGAAAATATATAAACTTCTAAAGGTAACATACATATCTGCATTAATACAAGTATAGACTGTGTATTGTACACTGGTCGATCAAAGATGATTTTTTTGTAGTTTTATGTTTGAGTGAGTAAAATATAAATCATGTGTCATATAGTACTTTCAGGTTTATTTCTTTATGTTTATAGTCAGGGTCTGGGGGGGGCTTTTCTTCGATCAAAGCTAATCCATATTACTTGGAATGAATCTATAGCCAATCATTTCCTATGGAAATAATACCATAACCCAAAGTAACATATCTTTTAACTTCCATTTTGAAGTCAAGATATTTTTAAATATATAGTTTGGTTTAATCCAACAGTTTTCATAATCCAATGTGCTTTAGCAGCTGTCATAAATTCATTGGCAATCAGATAACTTAAAGACAATAGAATAACACATAGAATGCAGACTCTCTGTGTATTTCCCATCTTTATGTGGCTTATTTTACTTTTTATTGCTCTGATCCTTTTTTAAGGACTTTACTATTCCTAAATTAGTTTTTAATCTATGACTACCTCTACCCTTTCTCTTTTCTCTCCCAGGCCTATGTATATATTTAAACACACTATAACATATTTAGAGGTTTTTATTGTTCATCTGCCTTTACTGTGCATCTGTATTGTTTTGGTTCAAATTAGACAAGCTGCCACCAGTGTAGCTTGTATATGGTGGTAGTTCATGGTGGGTGGTGGCTGGCTCCTCCCACAGGCAGCTGCTAGGAGATGCATCTCCTTACTGTAGCCAAGAGTCTAGAAATCCAAGTTTGGCTCCATTTTTGTGTGCTTGGCGTCTTTTTTATATTTTCTTGAGTCCTGTGTGGCTGTAAGTGCTGGATGTTTGGGTTCCATTTGTAGGTGAAGTTTTTCTGTCCCAGCAAATGCTCAGTCAATAGGTCAGGCTTATTACTAAGTACCTCCTACAACTTAAATTAATCCATTTCCATTCATCTATGTGCTGCTCAGAGACTTGTGGCTTTTACCTCTCTGGCATGTTTTGCTTCCTCTCCTTCTGACAGGCTACTCCTCCAACTTCTATGACTCTGCCCTTCTTCCTCCCAGCATCCTCTTAGTCTGGTTTTCCCACATGACCTCCTCCTGCCCAGCTACAAGCCAGTCATCTCTTTATATCCAGTTAGAGTGAAACATATCCATAGTGTGCAAAAAGATTGCTCCACTTCAACAAACTTCTGTACAATGTTAAATTTTCTATATTGAATGGTATATTTCAGAACGTTTAGACTAGACAATAGGAAAATATTATAACAAATACATCTATCAAAGGCTTTGCATCCAAATTGCATAAAAAAAAATCTTACATTACAACTAGAAGACAGACAATCCAAAAATAGAGGTGAGCAAATGAAAACAGATTTTTCCCAAAGGAAAACATATGACTGACTGGCCAGTAAGTATATGAAAAGATGGTCAGTATCATTTAGATCTTAGAGAAATGAGAATTCCTCAGTTCATCATAATGATAAAAATTCAAATTACTGATAATATAAAATGTTTGTGAAGACAAGAGGCAAACAGAATTCTCCCGTGTTGCAAAGAAAGATGATGTAAGCCATGTGAAATATGCTAGAAGTTCCTTGTTAAAAGAAACTTCACTTAATATGGGGATTTGGTATGAGAATTCTAAATTTTACTTAAAAATTAAAATGTGTCTTCACACAATGAGTTACACACAAATTTAAATGATAACTTTATTCATAATTGTTAAAACCTAGGATACCATGCATTCACATGTGAAAGGTGAAATATGGTTATTTGTGTAATATAAATGTGCTTTTAATAAGAAGTTTGAACAACTGATCTGTGAAAACAGCATGAGTAAGCTAAAATAATGATGATGATATATAATAATGGTGATAATAATCGGAGAAAATGGAGCCAAATGCAAATCTGTGCACAGTACATGGCACTCAGGACTAGGTAACACTAACTTAAAATTCAAAAGAGTATGTTTCTACTTATTTGGAGCCAGGTGGGATTGGCAAGGAGCAGCTAAGAGCTTTTGGGAGATACAAATGAACCTGTTGGAGTTTCTATTGCTGTGATGAAACACTAGGACCAAAACAATTTTGGGAGGAAAGGGACTACTTTGCTTTTATTTCTGCATCACAGTCCTTCACTGCAAGAAGTCAGAACCTGCAGTCAGAAGCTGATAGAGGCAAGGAGCAGTGAATATTTCTGGGAGCACCTCATGGCTTGCTCAGACTGCATTCTTGCAGAACCAGGGACCACAAGCGCATTGGTAGTAATATGCACAACGGGCTGGACTCTAACATATCAATCACAAATGCCCTATAAACTTGCTTATAGCCAGAACTTATGCAGACACTTTCTCAATTGAGGGTCCCAATTCTCAGATGACTCTAGCTTGTGGCAAGTTGATACAAAACTCTTCAAAACGGTGCTAGAATAGAGCACTCTCTAGCTCATTGTTAAAATGTGTGTATTTCTTATGATTTACAGTGGGAATATTATATTACACACATACTCCAACACCAATATTTTGCTTTTTAATGTCAGAAAAAAAAACATAAGTCAATAACCATATCAGAACTAAAGGACATTACAAGTGAATGCCCTGCATGGTCCTGAGCAAGAGAAAATATCAACAGTGATATAATCCAAAAAAAATGGCAAATATGAATATGGATTATAGATTAGAAAATACTACTATATCAATACTACATATGTTGAGTTTTATTTATCTCAGTACGATGTTGTAAAAGAATTTTCTTGTCTGTAAAAATATTTGTGAACATTATAGTAATATCATTATCACTATCATAATTAGGTTTCATGAAGCAGAATCTCACTCTATAGCTCATTATGGCCAAAACTTTAACCATGTGGGCTACACAACTGTCAGACTCATGCATCTATAAGATTATAAGTCTGAGACACCACATCCAACTGACTTAAAATTAATATACTGTATATATAGGGTATCAACTTATCATCAAATGCATCAGAGAAATGGGGAGGGGGGAATATATGGACTATGAAATGTTGTATGGGTTCATTGAGCTAGTTAGACAACTTCATCAGGTCTGAAATTATATTTTACAGAAAATAAATGCTTTTTAAAGATAAATACTTCTACCTGCAAAAAATATCAAATACTAAACAACCAATTATCAAAGAAACAGAAATCAACAACTGTATCATTGTTGTTAATTGTGCTGTCAAAGCCATGGGACATAGAAATGGTTTATCCTAGTAATGATGAGATATGTGTGCTATTGTCAGGGTTTTATATTTGGTTTTGTGTGTCATTCATGAAACAAAAAGAGTGTTTCCTCAGGGCTAGGAGTAAAGGGTTCTGTTCTCCAGACACAGCTGCTCTGTCTACCTGGAAGGAAGTCGTTTTCCACTCTATTAAGTCAGACTTTAGAAGAATATCTTCCCTTTACAGCTACTCACTCAAATTCCACAGCCAACTGAGACCTGTAAATAAAATATTCAGTTGTTAAGTAGTCCCAAATCATCATAGGAAACAAACACAGATCTCCATTTTTACCTTCCTGCACATTTTTACCTTGCATTGCACACTGACTCAGGGAATTTCCCCATTCTCTTTTCACATATGCAGCCATGGATTTTATCACAGTCCTCATAAAGTACACCTTTTGAACTGAGATATGGACAGGCTCCTGTGTCAAGGACTGATCCCAGTCTTGTCAAACTACTATAAAACAAAAAACATGATAGGTAGTTATTTACATTTGAATCTTATACTAACACAGACCATGATTTTTAATAAAACAAAATTTATTGACCAAAATTTACAGACTATAGAATTTAAAATAAGACTATCATTAAGCAATTTTTATTTTCTCTAAAGTTGTTTTGTTGTTGTTGTTTGTTTTTAGTGTTTTTCTTTTATTGGGTACTTTGTTTAATTTGATTTTTCACTTTTTGTTTTGTTTTTGTTTTGGGAACATAGTGAGTTATTTTAAAGAACAAGCAGTTAGGTGGGTAGAGAGGTGGGGAGGATCAGCGAGGATTTATTGGTGGGAAACCTGATCAAAATATGTTCTATAGAAAAATATAATTAAAACTCAAAATATAACTTTGAAAAAAGGGTTAGATCCACAGAAAGCATGAGTAGAAATAAAAGTGCAAGGAAGGGGATGTACCTAGAGGAATTACTGGTCACAGAGACCACAGAGTTTTCCAAATCGGCACAGACTACTGCCACGGCCCTTGGCTACCCACCGTAACTATGTAGTAAGACCCTCATGCTAAAGACACCATACACTTGGTGTCAAGATATAGAGAAATCAGTCTCAAAGCAGTCAGGAAATATCTTCCATTGGGCTAACTTTCAAAGATTTGGCAGCTGCTGGCGAGAAAAGATACGAATAGTCTTATTCAGAATTGAACCCTCCATTCTACAATACTGACCTGCTAGGCAAGATATGCCCAGTGTTCCCATTGTTAAATGAAGCATTTATCTAGTTATTCTTTACCAATAAAATCTCAGGAGTCAGATATCTGTGTATGAACATGGATGATTGGAGAAGCAGAGAAGTGACCAGTGACTTACTTTCTTGGTCCTTCATCAATCCAAAAAAGGCTGAGAATGTTTCTAAACCCCTCCTCACTATTTCTTATGTCTCTTTATATACTCTTGGTCCTCTAAAATCTCTATGGCTAATTTTGGACAGCTAGTTGCTAGCTTCACCCTCTGATTTAAAGTAAAATTTATTGTCAGTATAAGGAGTGTCAGAGTGCACTGAAAATATCCCACACATTTATAGGAAGACTAGCTGCTTTGTTATTGGAGTTGAGGTCTTTATCACATAAGGAATGTCATATTAAGCATTCTAATGTAAATAAAAGCCCATAATTATAGATGTCATTTTCCCTAGGGTAGAACCTGATACAATCATTTTGCTAAGAAGGCATGGAGTCAAATTAGACTCTTTATGTTTATGCCCTAGGATAGAGCTGCTTTTGAACTTGGTCAGAGGGCTCTTTTTCTTTTTTGCAGTACACACTGGTTCTACTCTAGGGAACAAGAAGTTGGAGCTAAGGTGTGGTTACTGAACCCTTAGAATAAGTGAGGAAGAAAAGCCTGTTTGTTCCATATGCATGACACTGTGTTCCCCTTTTTTGGATAAGGTATATAAGAATGATGAAAAACAAACTCATGGCATTTCAGTATTGACTGATCTGCCCTCCTGACCTAAAAGAAAAAAAAGAAAGAAAAAAAAAAAAAAAAAAGAAGAAAACATGGGTAACAGGAAAACATGTTAAGGCATACAGGGGAAGCTCGAGGGGGAAGTTAGGCAATGGATATGATCATATTTCATCCTAAAGACAAATGAAATTTTCTTTACTTTCTTTTTGTTTGTTAATTTATTTATTTATTGGTGGTGGTAGTTTTATAAAATTATTTTAAGGTGTGTTACTTTTGTTTATGCTGCATTTGTTTAACTCTGTGAACCTGTGATTCTTTGCATGTCTAAAATACTTGATGGTCTGAAGAAAAAAAAAAAAAAAAAGCTGGATGGCCAATAGTGAGACAGGAGCAAGCATAGGCAGGGCTGGCAGGCAGAAGAGTATAAACAGAAGGAGAAATCTGGGAAGAAGAGAAGGAGGAAGAGAACAAGGAGGGACCAGCCTCCCAGCCAGCCACAGAATAAGAGTGAAAGCAAGATAAACAGAGGTAAGAAAAGGAAAAAGCCCAGAAGCAAAAGATAGATGGGATAATTTAAGTTAAGAAAAGCTGGCTAGAAATAAGCCAAACAAGACCAGGTGTTTATAAGACACAATAAACCTCCATGTGTGTGATTTATTTGGGAGCTTGGTGGAGGCCTCCCCCTTCACAATAAAAAATAAAGAGCCCAAAAGAGTAAAACAACAGGTAGTCTTTCAGGACAGTTTCTCCAGGAAGTCCTGGTTGTCCTGGAACTCACTCAGCATACAAGGCTGGCCTTGAAGTCACAGACCCCTCTGCCTTTGCCATGTACTGGGATTAAAAGTATGCACCACTATAAAGCATACACCTTTTCAACATATTTCTAGAAAAAGAAATATTATTAATAAAGAAAATCAATGAATAGCTTTCTACCACCTCAGAATGAACATAAACCTCACATGTTTATATAATACAACACCTTGAAATGGAAAGTAGATATATATATTAATGTATATATAAACATTTTCTTTTATTTATAGTTATATAAGTAACTACAGAAACAAGTCGAGTGAACATCTGAGATACTCATACTCACTGTATCTGTCAGGATGCTCCGTTCACTCAAAGTGCTCCCAAGTTTTGGGGTTTTTTTGTGCCTTGTGCAAATTAGAATACAAAATCCTGAGCTGTGTTCAGTATTCCATCATTAGCAGTTAAATTCTAGACCATTCCTCTACCCTCTCTAACACTTGCTCAGACACTTCCTTGTGCGTCTTGTCCTCACCTGTGAGCTCCATTGGAAATGCGGAAAGCCATATGAAGAGAGAAAAGCTTTTTTTTGCACACCATCCTCCCAACTCCTGCACCAGTGTTAGAGAGTGAGGGCTCAGCAAACTCACAGTTTAGATGAGGCAGCATCAGTCTGTTGCCAGTTTCTTTTTTTTGTATCAGATGGAAATCCAATCCAGTAAGTGCTTGGATGAAGTTGGGACCCAAGGAATGTCTGTAAAGGAAACAACACATCTTCTGTTTGGTGAGGAAAAAAAAAATGACCAGAATAATTCCCCACTATCCCCTGTCAATTCTCCCTGCCCTTTGGCCCCAGACCCTCCATGTTCATTTCCTAAAGTGGTTTCTCACTAGTAGCTCATTTACGTCAAAACCAATGTCAGTCTCATAAGCTATTTAATAGTAAAATTTCAAGTGTCCAGTGATATTCAGTTCATTAAATGATTTGTGCCTGCATTTCTTAGACAAAGTCTGAGTGCGTAGCCAAGGCTAAGCTTTAACTCACAATCTTCCTGCATCAGGTCCCCAAGTATACATTACACATTGGCTCATTAAATATTTCTGACATTTTATAAAATTATTCAAATAATTTTTCCAAAACACTACAGAAGCATGTGGGAGGTGTTCATCATAAGAGGCCCCTATCTTCAAAGCAAATTCATTAAGATGAAAAGTCCTATGTGAAAATCTGTGAATCTAAGCGAATCTAAGCTCCATTCTCCAGAGAGGAAGTCATGCTGTAGATCCAAAAATGATAGAACTTCATGAAGGGGAAGACATTAGAAAACATTTAATGTATCCAACATGCAACATCCAAGTGTCATGATATCTCATTAAATATCAGAACATATTTTAGAATACAAACTTCAATTTAACTATATTTATTATATCAACATTAAAAAATTATTCTATGAAAAAATTATTCTATGCTGTAATATTTTAAACATATATTAAACTGGCATACAAGTTTTGCAGCATATTCTAAATGACAAAGTTTCAAACTGATCCTGCAAGCATTTCTCTAGAAAAATATAATTTACATATTTGGAGACATTTCTTTAGTAATAAATGTAATCAGACAATGGTGATATCTTGGCCACTTTGATTTCTTTTAAATACTTGTTTCTAAACACACACATCTTTTATGATACCAAGACTGCTATGAAGTAAATATTGTGAACAGATTTGGTGAAAATCCCATGGGTTAACTGGTGTAACTGTTTAGGTGCACAGTTCTCTCGACATTTCCACTCTGCAGATGGGAACAGATGTCAATTACTTTCCCTGTTGCCACCTAATTATTCATCTCAAGCAGCCTCCTTCCTGGGTTCCAAAGAGCAAGCCCTAGACAGCTGCTTCTGGGGATTCAGGTGACATTCTAAGGAGATAAATATCTGTCACCTGTAGTATGTGCTGAACCAAATGGTCAAATTTCATCAAGGAAAGGCATGCTTCTGTGAGGGACTGTCTTGCAAACTCCTAAGAAAGGGAGGAGATTGCAAAGACAACTGTCTCTTCAACAACAAGTCTTCTCATAAGAGATGCTGTGTCCTGGCACTAAATGGAGAGTAGAAAGGAATGGACAGGGAAACTCTTAATGCATGGTTTTTGCTTGCATCACAGGAAAACCACATATAGCCAATCCCCGAAGGACTCTTTTCCTGAAACACCTGCCTAGGCTCAAATCTCATTATCCAATTGTTATAGATGGAATCTGAGAATAAAAAAGCATGTAAGAGTCTATGGTACCAGTTCATCATCATCATCATCATCATCTGTCTTCAGAATGGATAACTTGCAGTTCTTGCAGGCCTGTTTACATTCATTCCAGTGTTTATTGTTCATGATGAAATAACATTTTATGCCACAGCAGAACCAGTGTGCTTCAACACGCTTGCCTACAATAGAGAAGGCAACGGTAAAAATTCTTATTTGGGGCGGGGTAACTTTGTTATCAGAACAATCCATTTATTAAACCAATATAATTAAGTAAAATCTCACAGCTCTCAGCTTTAGTGTTCTTCCCTGGTGAAAAAGTAGAGGAAATGTAGCACATACACAAAATAGTAAATTATTTAGCCTTTAAAAGTGAAGTAAATCCTGCCAGGCATATTTTATGGCTGTCACCCCAGCACTCCACAGAGTGAGTCAAGAGGATCACCAACAGTGTAAGGCCGTCCTTGGTTGAGAAGTGAAATCAAGGACTCCTGGGCTATTCAGTGAGTTCTAAGTCAGCCTGGGCTACAGATTGAAACCATGTCTCACCTCCAAACAAGCAAAAGGGAGACCCTGACCAATGTGACCAACTGTTCAGTAAGAATCTCCCAGGCTACTCCTGCCTGCTGCTCACTTAGTGTCAAGACACATCTTTATGAGACTTGTTACTAAAGGGGCAGCAGGGTCTTTTCAATGTCCTCCTTTTTCAGAAGTATGCAAGACAGTCCCTCAGAGAAGCATGGATGAATTGGAGGATAGTATACAAAGTGAAACAAGCCAGGTCCAGGACAATACTTTATGATTGCACTCAGAAGGGGTTTCTAACACAACCCAGTTCTACAGAGCAAAGGCTTATAAAATGCCAGGAGCCAGAGGGAAGGAAAATGAGCACTTCCTGCTCAGAAGTAGTTGCACAGATGATGGCATTCTAGATCTGGAGTGATGCACAGTACACACAGTAGTCCACATGCTACTGTACACTTGGAGCTGTGATGTGGTCTCTGTTAAATTTCTTACCTTAGGAGACACATGAAGATGTTTTGAAGGTAATGATTTGTTCTTTTGATTGTGGTAATGCCTCCAAAGGTATGCCCACATGCCCAGATGTGTCATGTCAGGTTGAGTACATTAAAATGCATGCAGTTTGTGTAGCAACATCTCAGTGTAATTATTTTGTTTGGTGATGTGTTGGAGATGGCCATGGTTGAACTTTATCTCCAAACTTTGTTTTTCTGTGAAAATGTATCACAGTGTAGCTCAGGCAGATCTGTAATTTTCTGGGCTGCCTAGACTCTCCTCAAATTTGCAATCCTCCTATCTCAGACTCCTAAGCACAAGCATTACAGCATTATGCTATCATTGGATAATGACAATTATTTTTATTCTAAAATAATAGCACAAAACTTATTTAATGAGTCTGGAATGCTTCAAAAATTAATGTTGGAGATTTTTCTTTTCTTGTTATATCCTTTATAATCTACCAGTTTTAAAGATGAATGAAGTCTGCCAACTCCTACTATCACAACACAGAGAGATCATATAAAATCTCTTTGTAACCCATAAACTGTGAACAAATATTTAATAATTATTGATGAGCTGTGCCAATTAGTCATGGTGCAATGTAGGAAAGGTCCCTTGTGACACTTGATGTTTCATCTTGTTAGCGTCATTGACAGTGTCACTAATTGAGATTCATGAGTGTGGGCACCATGAGGAAGCTCCCATGTGCACTACATGAAGGATACCTTCATCACAAACAGGCCTTCTATTTGAAACAAGGGAAAAGGAACACACACACACACTTTTATGAATGTATGTAAATCTTGAGTAGTTACCACAAATATTTGATAAAAAGACTCTTACTGGAAATTTCCATTTTCTGTCAGCAACAACTTTGGAGACTTGGATTTGCTCATGTACCAAAACAACCTGAATTCTCATGGGTGCTGACTTGATTTTCCATCCCTTGGGAGCATTATGAGCCAGAATGACCACTGAAATTCTGGAAACTATAAGGTTCTCCTAAATCAAACATGGATTTCTGGAGTTCCTGGCCCCTACATGAAGTAAGGGTACATCATAACCTGCTAATTGGACTTAAAAGTTTTGTGAAAAGAAACAATACAGAGTAATATAATTCTTCATTCAAGATCTCCTCTGTACCTGTGCCTATGCGTTGTGTGCAATCTAAAACAATCTTGGTTTCCCTGTAGCATCTCTTCGATTCTCTGTTGACATAGTCCAGACGATCTTTGAGGGCATCACACTCTGCAGACTTATTATTCAACAATTGTTCCTTTAAGTAGCTGTCATTTTTCATGATGTGGTATTTTTGGTAGAAGTTGTTTAGGATTTTCTCCTGATCATGTTTCTCTTGTCTGTACTGAAACACTAAAATCAATAGCAAATATATAACACCAAAATGCTCATTAGTTATAAATATTGAAATTTAAGATAAAAGAGAAAGCCCATGTTGACATCCAACACATATCATTACTTTGTTATTTTGACACTTAGAAACATTTCAATTATCTCACTACAGAAATGGAAACATGAGTTTCTATCTACAAATTCAGTGTGAAGTATATGATACATCTGAATAAAATTATGGCAGAAGTACTTTATCTTCCAATTATTTCATTTTTTCACAAATACTTACAACTAAATACCTGAATAAACTGTTCAGCAAACACTTAACATAACCTGAAAACCTCCATTAAGAAGCATGAAAAATATGGCACAATTCTCATTGTACCAGATGGAAAGCATGATATCCAGACATGTAGCTACGTTTTAGCACAGCCTGGGAGTGATTTCCACTAAAGATGTGAAGGAATTCATTAATGCTGAAGCTTTAATGTCTCTGTACACATCTAGTCTTTTTACTTAACCATGTCCTCAGCATACACTGAAGAAAAAACTTTAGTCATTTCTATTGCACAGCTCTTTCTCACAGAATGTTTACTTAAGATTCACATTCATCTGAGCTCAACATGAAGACTATCATCAAGATCCAAGACAGAGCATGGCCATGAGTGAGACAGAACAAGGTGGGACCCAAGCCCCAGATTTAATAGGTTAGGTATATAAGAGAACAGGACACTGCAGTGTCAGGAAGAAAACATAAAAAGTTCAGAGCTACCTATCAAAGCCCCTGATTATAGGCAGGACAATAGACAGAGCGTATTACTTAAGTTTTTGCTTAATCAGAAAGGCAAAGATGTATAGCAGTTACTCACTGTATGTCACCAACACTGCAATGGCCACCAGAAGAATGGAACAAAGGATTCCGAGAGGTATAGCAATGAGGTACCAGGGGACTGAACACCCTTAATTCAACAAAACAAAGCAAGAAAATCAACACCATGAAGCACCACATTCTACCACTAATTATAATTCTGTGTTGCATGTAAACAATGTATATTGGACTTTATATTTTTTTCACAGAAGTCCAGCATACAAGCTGAATGAAAATGTGCTTTCAAAATTATAGATTTTTTACCTAAAATGCACCCACTGTAGAAATCCTACATGTGTGAAGTTTCCCAGGATTTCAACTTTTTCCCCCCATGGCCTTAGAGCCTCAATTCTCCTGACTCAGCCTAGAAGTAGCTGGATGACAGGCACACGCCCCTCACCCAAGTCTATATGATCAAAACTGCATCCTTCAGAGAGCATTGGATTCACAGACACAGCCCAAGTGTCAGACCCCAACTGGAGCATGCAGTCCACTAAGAGAGCACAACTGAGGATGAGGAGGAAGGACAGGGCGGGTGCTCTTGAGAACCACGGTAGGGAACCATGGAAGTTTTGGATCTGACCTGTAAACAGGTTTATCTTTAAGGGGGCCTAGGTGTCAATTCCCTCTTTTTTCCATAAGTTCTATTTTCTCTAGACAATACTAAACATCTTTCTGTACTCGAGGTGTGGGAAATCTGAAAGTCAGGCCTCCAATGACCACCTAGTCAAAGAAGTTAAAGTTCTCAGCTTGGAGAGTGTGCAGACTGAGGGTAATAAGAGAATAGAAAAATTTTAATTAATATTTTTGATTTTTTTGGCAAATGCAGTGTGGTTTACTCATTGCCACCGCCACTGCCCTCTCCCATCCCACTTCTCTTCCTCTTCACCCTTCTTTAAGGGAGAGATGTTCTCTTCTGATGGATGACTTTCACTGCTTCACTGAATTAGATGTTGGAAAATATGCAAGACAGTGAAAACACCCTCTGCTAGAGTGAAAGTATTGTTTCTAAAGCATACTTTACATTTCCTTAAGATTTCCTTTCTCTAGAATGTTTGGGGTTTCTTCAGACTCTAGTGTGTTACTTTTACAAGTTTCAGAATTCTTTACTAGACTAAAAAGAACCCCTAATGGTTTCTCAAATTTGGCAGAATGTATTCACTTCTTGCTTCTCCATTCTCAAGATTTCTCAAATTTGACAGAATGTATTTACTTCTTCTTCCTTCTTTATTCTCAATAACATTTTTTTCTTGCAGGTCCCCATCATTCTACTCTGCCCATCACTCTTTCTTTTGTTACCAGAACAACTAGAAATAGGATTACTGTTTTTAATAGAAGCAAGTAGGATATTGTATTCAAATGTCAAGAGCTAGAAAGGCATAAAAATCAGGTGAATTTAGACATTTGAAACCCTTACCTCTGTGGCCAGCTTCTCTGGGCCCTTGAGTCTCATCAGGCCTTCCTCCATTCTGCAACCCTGAAGAAGACTTATGAAATCTCAAAGTTGTGTAAGTGATCTCCTCATCACTCATCTTGGGAGTAGGTGAAGTAGGTCTGTGTTAAAACCTAACCTTGAGTGATTTCTAAAGAAAAAAGTTTAAATGTCCACCTTTAGGAAGGTACCTGGATCTGATGCTGCAGTGGGGTGGGAAGGGATGGGGTCTGATATATTCCCTTAGCGATCCAAACATCCTAAATCACATAGACTGATTCTGATTTGCACTAGAGGTGAGAAGTCTTCAAAGATTTCTGTTGAAGTCATTTATACCTCTAACAGTAACAGCACTTATTGTGAGGAAATACAGAAAGAATTAAAATATACTAGTAAGGCACTGCAATACTGAAACAACCTGTTTAATCAAAATATTACAAATATATAAAATTGTCAGGCAAAATTGCTACCACCACAAATTATTGAAACACTTTTAAATATCAATTCAAATAACAAAAGTTCAAAGATTTCTGAATAAAAATCTTTACTTAAAAATTAGTTACACATTTTGATAAACAAATGAATATTAAAATGTTCTTGCGTGTTCCCACACACCATTTCAAAAAGAATACTAGAGTGTTAATAAAGGTGATGATTAAAATTTTGGGCTCCAAAATATAAATATTGCTTGGGTTGGGTCCAAACACCTGAGATGTCCAACCTCTTCAACCAGCCATAGCCTAGTCAGTCTTCTCCACAGTCATACCTGGTAAATGTATGCAACTTGAAAAGCTCATACAGCATAGGATAACCCAAACCCAGAAAGACAAAAGACACACATTTTCTTAATTAGAGGCTCCTGGATTCAAGTCTTCTGGCATGCTACATAACCTGAAGTAACTACAGCAACCAGAAAAGCAGAAAGAGGTGTAGCATGGGGAGGGCATGGGGTCAATAGAGAGACATATTACAGGGTACAACCTGAAATTAATCCCAAATTATTCCACGCACATGATCATTTCACATATTATTTTCTAGTGTATCAAATTACCAGAGGAGCCTATATGAAAATTAATTTTGCCACTAATCAGTCATTGGCTAGTGCCCATAAAGGATCCAATCTGTTTATATATATTTCAGTAGTAAATATTTGTAACTTACCTTGCCCCTTATATTGATAACTGAGATGTTAGCCAATAGACAATATGGAAAACAAACAGTACATGAATTGATTCTTCTCTAGTTTTTCAGTTTTTTTTTTTTTTTTTTTTTTTTTGAAGATTTCTGGAGTTATTCACATTTTCCCTAATTTCTTAAGAAAAAGGAGACGCTCCATTAGAGAATCCATTATGTAAAATTGCTATACTCACTGTTCCTGATCTTGGGGTAGTGTCTGTACCATGGTGCAAATGTGTCCAGGGGACAACTGTACCGAGCGAGTCCTCTCATCCCATCTCTGTGTAAGTTTCAGGAAGTATCTTCATACACAGAGCCATCTTACCTGGCTCCTATTGTGACTCCTTTAGTATGAATTGTATATTAACATTTGACCCAGTTAAAGAGCAATGAACTCCACAGAACCTCTATCTCACTCTCTTGGCACATAGCAGAAGACACAGCACACCAGAAAGAAAACACACAATGTCAAACCCCAGTTTTCACATGCTGCCAGACTCAATCAAATCTAACACAAACAACAGAGCTCTCCAAGCATTTCCACTCTCAAATCACACCATCTGAAATTCTCCAAGCAGTTATTACCTGTGTCTCTACCAGGAATTAATTCTGGTGGAGAGAATTGGTCCCCCCAGGCCTTTCTGCCGCTCAGAGAGAAAAGGCAGAACCGAATTGCTTGCGCCTTCTCTTGACCAAAGTGAAAAAGAGGAAATTCTATGATGAAAGCAGATTCTGACAGCAAAGGAAAGAACCAACATACCATGACAGATGCTGCAAATCATGTCCATATTCGATATTTGAAGACCGAGAAGAAAGCACATCTGCAGAGAATGTAAAGCAGCCTTCTTAGCAAAACAACGACGAAAAAGAGGTGACTGGTGTTCCTCTGCTCCTAGTTCTGTAATAGACTGTAAGACATTTTCTTTTAAGCGACTGTTTGAAAAAATAAATTCTTGCTTTCGAATTGTGCTTATTATAGCTAAGTGTGTTTTACGATAACTTTGAAGCACTCACATGTCCTCTGTGGAACTTTTGGTATTAACTCTATTTGCTTCTTCTTTCATAGATAATGTTTGTTGGTGATGCTGGCGTCATTTCATACATAGTGTCTTGCTGCTGACATTTCCACGTTGCTGGGTTATCAAATCTAACACTAAGCATGCCCAGTAAATACCCTACCACCGAGCTACAGACTCAAGTTTTGTTTTGAGACGGTTGTTGTGTCATATTCACTAAGTAGCCCAGACTAGCCCCAAGCTCACAGGCCTCAGTCCCTTCAGTGCTGGAATTATAGCTGTATACAACCATGCCAACTTACACCATGTTTCTAACTCTTTTCTAATAAACAATACGCATTGTTTTCAATTTACAGTGATCTGCAAAATTTTTAAAGCCACATGTAATTATTAATCACTTCTGTACAGCATAAATTAATTATGCTAATTAGGCAATCCTTCTATGTTGACATTTAAGTTTAGACTATTTTGGTCTTAGAATTAAAACCTACTTAGAACATACTTAGGAAGACATTTTATGCATGAAATAATAGGATTAAAGCAGATACACATTTAAGGAACTCTGACACAAATTATCACACACCATCTAGTTAATTTATAGTCTACCAGTTGGATGTGAAAATATTCACAACTGATTTTTTTTCTTTTTTAAGAGAGATGAAATAAGGTTAATTTTTTTTTTTCTTCTGTGTAAGTTTTAACCATGGGTTTGTGAATGAGAATTTCTGGAAAGAAACTATGTCTGCAAAGACTGATTTACTTGTTAAAACTAAAGTGGTGTGAGCTGGGCAGTGGTGGTGCATGCCTCTAATCCCAATATTCAGGAGGCATAAGCAGCTGATCTCTATAAGTTTAAGGCCAGCCTGATCTACAAATGGATTTCTAAGAAAGCCAGAGCTGTTACACAAAGAAACTATCTTTTAAAAATCAAAACCAAAGGAAGCAAACAAACAAAAACTTACAGTGATGTGGAGAAAGTAGAATGTTGTAAATTTAGGGAATAATTACATTGCCACAGAATAGCTTCAACCCCCTAAACAACAATTCCTGAAATCTATTAACTTAGCAGACCACTAAGTTCCACCAAGATGATAGCTAAAAATGTCATCTGATGACCTGTGGAAAAGCTTCCCCCATCTTGCTGTAATCACCTCTGTGATGTACCCAATGATATATGCGTTAAATTTACCTTGATTTATGTAACATTCTCAGTCCTGTAATATTACAAAACTACATGAAACTGCTTCCAAGTTGGAACTTGGAACCATGATCGTTCAAAATGGCTCCAGAATAAACAATCTCTTCTTCCCTTTAAGGTAATGCTACAACTCTTTACTACAGTTCCTCCTGTTGTTGTGGCTGCCTACCATAAAATTATCTCACCGTGACTTTCTAATTGTAATTCTTCCACTGTTGTGAATCATAATATAAATATCTGATATGCAGGATGCTATGAGCCTTTATCATAGATTACAGAAGTAGCAATTAATATTTTAGGCGCTAACCCACCAGAATTAACTTCTGATGACGGAACCTTGCTTTGCAAAGTCTACAAGAAATAGAGACTCCAGAATATCTGTTGTTTCTGCCTGTAATTTTAAATGTGCTAACTGCATTCTTTCCCTAGCCTGTATATCATAAATTCTGGACACATGTATCTGTGGAAAGTCAAAAGGATGATTTTCATTTGGCTGTACAGTCTTGACATAGTATACTGGGTACCTTGTATTCTCAAAAAGGCCCCAGAGAAAAGAAATTCTTCTCACTCGGAGGTCAGTGGGAACAAAGCCACTAATGGCCTAGAGGCTGAAAATGCCAGGCTCTAGATTGTACACTAGCCATAGTTCTTCCTTTTGATCTAGTATTGAAAGGCTCCCTTTAATCAGCTAACATTTGACAAAAATGCTAATGCAAACCAAATGCTACCTGTTTTCCTTCTGAAGCTTATGCTGCTTGCCATCACCGAGAAAGCAAATGTGAGTGCTCAGAAAGCACAGAGCTACGATGTCTTTTCCCTTTTTCTATATTTACTAATTACAAATTTCTACCTTAACAAGCCACACTTAAGAAATTATCAGTCTTTATCTGTCTTCTTGGCCTTGAGCAACGCATGCCTGGTACCTTTGCTATTGCCACAGAAATGCTAATTGTGTCTTGTGGGTACATAAACTGGAAACTTTGTGGGATTGAGGGAGAACTTATGAAGAATAAAGAAACACGTTGAGAAGAAGACATGTGTGTGTAAGATGATTCATTCCTTTTACCTTCAGATTCCTTTAGCTGTATCCCATACTTGCTGTAAGCGTCCTGTCTAAACTCAGGGGGCCCTGGTACCAGGATATCTGATATTTGGCCTCTGTGAATGGTCTTGACCCTCAAGGGGGTGAAGACCCACAGGTCGGAAACCACTGCTTTAAGGTGAAAGCTTACTTTTACATCAACAGGTCTTCGTTCTAAACTCTTGATGTGCACATTGCCAGTGAGAGCCTGCATTCTAACACAAGCTGAAGACTTTAGAAACTTCATTGGGATTGGAGGTATGGTTCAGAGAAGACCACAAGCAGCACAGCAAAATAGTAGCAATAACTAAATACAGTATTAGAGGAAGGAAGGGAAGGAAGACTATTTGATTTCTATAGTCTGTCTGTAGCCAGGAGCTAACCCTTGCCAGAATATGTTCAAAGCTCTCACTATACTTTCATTGGTTTTGTCATTTCCAAAATGCTAGCTTGTTTTTGTCAACTTAAATTATTCTTCAAATCAAGTGACAGAGGTTAATGGGGCACTGGGGGTGGGGAATGGCTGCAGAACAGAAGAGGAAGTGATGATGCAATGGCAAGCGTTACCCACACTTGACTATGCCTGAGGTGAGCTTCCTTCTCTCTTCCTTTGCTAGCCTCTAGCCAGCACTTAATCTTCATGCTCTGTCTTCATTTGCTCCCACCTCCAAAGTTTCCTCCTAACTGCATCCTGTTCTCACTACTGGGTTCATGGCCAGTTTCTATCTTACATTTTTCTTTGGTAGACATTAAAAAAAAAATTGAAATTGTTTTATTATTGTGTTTAAAAGGTGTTTGTGTGAATCTGAGCGCATATGTATCATGGATTCTATGTGAGTGTCAAAGGATAACTTTAGTGAGTTAGTTCTTTTCTTCAACCATGGATTCCAGGAATTAAATTCAGGTAGATCATTAGCCTTTATGTGCCCAGTACTTTAACCCACTGAGACATCTCACAGGTCCCCCTTTTTTGCTTTTTTGTTCTTAAACCTTAGTATCTCTGAGTCACTACTCAAGTCTGCCATTGTTGTGCACCAGAGGTCCAGATATTAACTCTTCTCAACAGTGTAAGCAAAGTTCCTTGGGTGCAGAACCAGTGTTTCCAGAATACCTCCCATAGTTACTTTTGTCTCTATACCCTAATCCTGGAGGACTCTATCTCTAGTCTTAATATCACACACACACACACACACACACACACAGAGAGAGAGAGAGAGAGAGAGAGAGAGAGAGAGAGAGAGAATATTAATTAAAGATGTGTTACAATTTGTTTTGCTACTGAAAATTTTTTAATGATGCAAAGATATGTTGCATTCTTTTATGTTACATTTGTTTAGCTCTGTGAAGCTATGTTATTTGCGTGTCTAAAACATCTGATTGGTCTAATAAAGAGATGAACAGCCAAAGTGAGGCAGGAGAAAGGATATATGGGGCTGGCAGGCAGGAAGAATAAGTAAGAGGAGCAAGAAAAAGAAGAGAGAGGACTCCAGAGGTCAGCCACACAACTACACAGCAGGCCGTGGAGTAAGAAGTAAAGAAAGAAGAAAGAAATGCAGAATACAAAAAGACAAAAGCCCAGAGGCAAAGGTAGATGGGATGGATGCTTTTAAGAAAAGGTGTCAAGAAACATGCCAAACTAAGGCCAGGCATTCAAAAGAAAGAATAAGCCTCCATGTGATTTATTTGGGAGCTGGGTGGTGGGTCCCCAGAAGAGCAAGACTAAAGAGTAAAAACCATCCAACAACATACACACACCACCATTAACAAGGAATGAATGAAAAGAGGTTTAAATAAGTTGTGCTTGGGGAGCAGCACTGGAGTGGAGAAGGTGGCAGACACTGTCCCAGTGCAGGCAGGCAGACGCTTGTGTTGCCTCAGCTTCCCAAAGGAAACACTGAAGTCAGCTGATTTACTTCAGGACACCTTGTAACTAACTCTGGACCTATAAATAAGGCCTTACTGAATACACACACTACAGACACAACGTGGGTTCAGAGGGCTTGCCACAACGCATGAGTTTGGTGCCTGGAGAGACAAGAGTGGAAACACCAACAAGCTCCTGTGACTTCGGGTAAGGCAGATCATTCATGGCCTTTGCACAAGCAGAAAAGAAGCGCCATTTTTCTCCCGGCTTGCTGTGAAGCTTCAGTAAGATACACAAATAGCGTTTTGTTTTGTTTGTTTGAGGCAAGGTCTCACTATGTAGTCCTGGCTGGCCTGGGTTTCACTATGTATGTCAGGTTTGCCTGGGACTATTTTGCCTGCCTCCCACGTACTGGGATTAGGGGTGTGAGCCACCAGGCCCAGCTTCACAAATAAAGTTCTCAATCATAATCTGGGGAATGAATGATAACTTTCATTCAACATTGTATTTAAAGTCCATAAAAGTCCTTACCATATAAATTTGAGCAAAACACTGCATATTAAAGAGTTCCTTTTTAATATGGAGAGTATGTCACCTGCTTCCTAGGATTGGAACAACTACAAAACTGCAATCAGGAATATGAAACACAAGATTTTAGATTTGAGGGCTGGAGAGATGGCTTGGCAGTTAAGAGCACTAACTGCTCTTCCAGAGGACCCAGGTTTAATTCCCAGCACCCACATGGCAGTTAACAACTGTCTGTAACTACAAGATCTGATCCCTGCACACAAACATTCATGCCATCAAAACAATGCACAAACAATAAAAATGAATTTTTCAAAAGCTCTTAGATTTCAAAATAACTTTTTTTAAAACGCTTTCTAGCCAGACACTTCTCTGAGACACAGGACAAGCTAGGTTTTCCCCCGTGTTTCCCCCGTGTCAAAGAGTGCAGGTATTTGGACGAACAAGATGAGGAGGCCACATGAGCCAAAGTGAGGGACCGAGAGATCTAGGGTAGTGAGCCACTACCGCTCTAGAAAACTCCAGATCAGGGGAGTTATGTCACGCACTGCCCACGGATATAATAAAGGTGCTTTTTATACTTAAGTCTGCTGAGAGGCAGCCCTCTTCACCAGGGCGGCTAAGCGAGTGCAGGCATGCTTCTTTGTGCTTTCCACATACTGCTTGCCTCCTCAGACATCACACAAAGTCTGTGTGCAAGAAGTCCCTATTTGTTTTGCTGGTTACTGTTACCAAAGCATGAACAGGGTGTGAGCTGCCCACCAGTGTGCTTGATAAGGGAGGGAAGCTAACAAAAGCTGAATGCACAATGGGATTTTTTTTTTTTTTTTTTTTTGGTTGAATATAGAGTCAAGAGGATGTCAAAAACTGTTAAGCCAAGGAGCTTCCTCTGAGCTCTGCACAACTAAGCTCTGACTTTCTAGAAAGCCCTAAGCTGATAATGAGCATAATTAGCAGCAGAAGGTGGAATCACTTCAGATTGGAATGGGCTGACACTCCCATTGGGGCTCTTTGACCAAAGTGCAGCACAAAATAGGAAGTACGGAACGTCACATGAAAATCTAATTAGAAAGGTGAAAAACTTAAATGTTTTGTTTTCTTGAATTTTTGTCTTCTAAATTCACTTTTGTGGGGACAAAAAGAAAACAAGAACAACAAAAGAAACCACAAAAACCACACATATACACTCATTTCCCTGGCTTCTTTGCTGTCAGAGCCTTTACTTGTGGAACCACGGCTGCCCGTCCTACTAAGGTTTAGACAGATACAATCTTAGTCACTTTCAGACCTTCTAGCGGGACCCTCAGACCTCAGTAATGTCATCATTTCACAGTTGCAAGCTGTTCCTCCTGCCCCAGTCTGAGGTGAGGGATGCCTGCAGTCACCACCAGCCCACCGGGAAGGATGGGCTGACTCACTGTCTTCAGTGAGAGGACGGATTGGCTGGTCCTGGCCAGCTTTACACCTCTTGCTATTTGTCTTAAGGTGGACCTTTTACAACTCTGAAGTATGGTAAACTTCACAGCTCTTAGGAAAACCAAGAGCTCTATTTTAAGATTTCCTGTGCCCTAAACCACCCCATGTGTCCTAGCATTTGCAATCACATCTGTTCCAAAACTCTGCATTATCGTACCCACTCACGTAGCCCTTGCTGAGTCACAAGCACTGAGACAGGGGACATGAGAGAGATGCTTCGGGAACTCCGTAGGAATGACAAAAAGGATAGGTAGAAGGGTTTCAGGTGGATGTTCAGGCTCTGTGTCACTCAGCGATAATAGCCACTTAAAGGTCATAAGAAAAACGGGGGCTAGAGAGATGGCCAAGAGCATGGGCTGCTCTTCCAGAGGACCAGAAATTTGGACCTGAGCACCCACATGGGGGTAATTCCGGTCCTAAGGAATCCAACAGCCTCTTCTGGCCTCTGCAGGCACAAGGCATACCTGTGGGTGCACAAACTTACACACAAGTGAACGTCCATAACAAACAAAAGATTTAAAAGTGAAACAGTTAAGTACTGACCCACAACTAAGTTTCATTTCAGTCCATGTTCTCTACACATCAGTTCAGAGAAGTAAGGCCACGTACACACTGAAGACTGGTCAGCCTCGCAGCTCCACTGCTCATCATCGGGGGAGTCTGTAAGTTCAGTTCATTTCTCCTAAAGCATTCTTTACAGACAGGGTTTCGTGTAGCCTACGCTAGTCTAGAACTGACTGTAACGCCAAAATAGGCATTGAGCTCCTGACCCATCAGGAGCTCCTAGCTGGGGTTTATGCTCAAGCCACCACGGTGGTATACACCTTTAGTCCTCAAACTCAGGAGACAGAGGCAGGCAGATCTGTGAGTCTGAGACCATCCAAAAGGAGGAAGAAGAGGACAGCAGCAGCAGTACTAGTAGAGATAACAAGAGATGAATGGTAGCAAGTTTGAAGGACCTGGGAAACATGAATGCCGTTTCCAGTAAGAGTCTGACAACAGGCATGAACACTATAGGTGGTTAAAACAAAATTTCATGTAACTTTGTAAAGCTTCAACTCAACTTCTACATGCACGTGCGCGCGCGCACACACGCACACACGCACACACACACAGAAGAATAAGGGCATAATAAAACAGGCCAAATGTGGGGTACTGACTATGCTCTTTCAACAACTTAGGAAAATATGTAAATGTGAAGTAGCCCAAGAAAGCTTATGATAATGTAAAAAAAAGAAAAAAAAATCTCAAACCTCTGTAAAAACCTCGGTGTCACAAAACTAAGTCCTATCAAGTATGGAAACAGAAGAGTTACTCTATGGTCCCTTCAGCAGCTGGGATTTGGCTATGGATTTCCAGATGAGCAGCCTCTGCTCTAAGCTCTACCAACCAGAACAACTTTTGATCCTTAAAGCAACAGACAGACAGACAGACAGACAGACAGACAGACACACACACACACACACACACACACACACACACACACACACACACCACTGACTCAACAACCAACCAACCGACTCCACATCCAGGCTTTGGTACATTTTATTAGAGCAAAATTTCAACAAAAAAGTGGCTTTTATTTACAGAATCAATTGCATATAGGGACTGTCTAGTCCACATGGACCCAAGAGAACCAAACCATTAAACCTGGTTTTTTTTTTCCCCACATATTGAGTTTATATACAAAAGTTTCACATTCATAAAAATCCCAAAATTGTCAATAAAAAAAAACCTTCCTTTAAATATATAAATAACCTCCAAAGTATTCGATTCAAATTGGCTTTATCTTGAAATGTAGTCCAATGAGACTGAACACTAAACATTTCAAGTCCTGCACCAAATAGTAAAATACACGGAGGCCTTCGGGATCCCTAAAAATAAAAACAATAAATAAATAAGAGTTACCTTCTGTTTCCTATGAAACATAATCTTATAAACTTCTGAAACAGACCAAACCATTTGTACCGATAAAGCTTATAAAATTCAGGGCAAAGGAAGATCTGTGGCAACTTAACAATTAGCACCTCCCTCCCCGTGGGAGGAACGCAGCTCACAGAGCGCTGAAGAGACACAGCATACACAGCCCACGTCCTCACCAACTGTAGCAATGTCTTCACAGATTAGAAACCCATGTTCTTCATCAACATGGGTGTGCAGCTACTACTGTGCACGCATTCCTTTCCCCTCTCTAATGCTTCTCTGAAGCACTTACTATGTGTGGGACACTGTTCTAACTAAAGACAAAGCAAGGTTCTTATGCAGCTCATACTCAAGTAAGTTATGATTTAGGGCGACATGAAGCAATGGAAGCAATATAGAGACATTTTGAGGGGAAGGAGCATGAAGAAATGACTCAGTGACTCAGGCCAACAAAGCTTAAATATATGCTGCAAAGAACCTGAGGACACAAAGGTGGCTCACACACATGCCTACTGTTTCTTTCAAGTGCTAAACCCAAGGGAAAGTATGATATAATATGGGCCCAATGAAGCTCATCAATGCAAACACTTCTTCCTTTACGTTTTGTGCCATTATAACCAGGCTTTTGAATACAAAATGACCAACAAAACTCAGGCATCATTACACACACTGCTGAACTGAGTATTTTGTGAAATACGTGGTTAACTTCTCCAACAGACAAGATAACAAGTGCTTACTTTTAAAAAAAAGCCCCAATGGCATCTGAATCCTAAATTGCCTGGCTAGCAGACCACAGTTCTGACACGAGCCTCACTAATGCGCTTTATCAGATCAGCCAAACACTTTAGTATACTTACTTTGATTGATTTACATCAATAAGAGAACCTATTTTTGATGTGGTAAAAGAAATGTGTTCATCCCCAATTACAATTTCAAGTTCCTGGAAACAAAAAGAACAGAGAAATGGTATCAACAAACAAAAAAAGTCTACCCCAGAAGATAGAAGATCCCAGTATTCATGCTACAGAGAAGTACAAACTTTCTAGAACCTAATAGAGGGGGAAAGGAATTTAATCTCAGCCAAGCATGGTGGCACATGCTTATAATCCCAGCACCCAGGAGGCAAGGCAGGAGGACTGTCTCAATTTCAGGGTCAGTCTGGGCTACAGAGAAAGTTCCAGACCAAGGAGACTCTCTCTGAAAAAAATTTAATCTGCTAGACCGAATTCTCTTAATAAAACCTCACTGAGGACACATGAGCACTGGCCTCAATTTCGGGACCAAGCCAGAACAGCTTCTCAGAGCCATCATAAAAAAGGGGCTCAGACAAAACAACCCACAAATGCTCCCTATGATGTTGGTAAATATGAGAGCTGTCTCTTTAAAGCATATGTTATAGAAATGATTATACAAATACAAACCCCTGTAAAATATCACAAAATGCATTTCCCTTTAGGTAAGTTTCTACAAATATATGACATTAACAATGGCTACCACTTTGGCACCTGCCACACATCAGGCCTGAATGCTGGGATTTTATATACACACACTCTCTGCAGTCCCTGAAACACCTTTACAAGGATACAGACTTCATTAGCCCTATTCCACAAATGTACAATCCTACACTCATAAAGCACAGAACATACAATGATATCAATAACCAGAGTAATGCAACCATAACAGTAATGTTCCTTTGGTCATATTAATATTATAAAATATTATGTAATGATATTATAGGGCAATCAAAACTGCCAATATAAAGGAGATAAAAATATACTTAAGTATATTTAAGTGTCGTACTTTTTATATTGGGTTTTAAAAATATAAGTTAACATTTATAAATGCAGTTATTTATAATGTATAAGTATGTATTCATGTTACTATAAAGGCTTATGTTTATATATTCTTGGGGAAAAATAATTATCTCTGGTGAATAAAAGTACTTGGCACTATATAAAGTTGAATAGAAGACAAAAAAAGTAATGTTCCCAGTTACGAGACTAATACTCTGAAATTCAATGAAAAGTAGAACTTATAAGACAATACAATGTAATGTGATGGTTCTAGTACATTATCATCATATAAATCTTATCTGGACTGCTTATCCAGAAATCAAAGGCTAATGAAGGGGCCACACTGAATTATCAAGCAGATGCTAAAAATGACAGGCTTAGCTATTCAATCAAAAGGCCGAACTGTACCCTTTGAGATACAGCAAATTGAGAATTAGCTAAGATTCTCTAATAATCACAAAAATCTTTGGTTTAATTAGCCAGTGGTAATTTCTGGAGCAGGCTGCTACCCCTCATGAGAACACATCACCAGTGCAGATACCGAGCACTGGCTCTGCCCAGAGGAAAAATGTTATTTCTAATGACACCTTCTCCAATCTGCAGTTATTTTTCTAAAACTGATGATCCAGAAATGAGATTACTAAGGCAAAAATAGGTGGAAAATATTTACATTTCCTGATGTATAATGCCATGTATAACACCCTCTAAAAGAAGTATATCAACTTATAAACACAGTCAGTCTAGATGTCATATCCTCGCTGTAGAGGAGGTTTAACAGTTCTAAAATATCTGGCTGTGTTGCAGACGCAGATACCAGTGACCTCTATGCTGACGGTGGCGTTACGAGGCCCCAGGTCCCCACACACAGACCGCTGCCACTCTCTCACTACCACGCCCTACACTGGGCTCTTGCCACAGAACAGTTGAGTTACTGCTACTTTCAGCAGGTATTAGATCTTTCTGACTTTTCTTCTGGTCAAATAAAGCAGCTGGTACAAAGTACAACCCTCAGAAACACACAAAAATGAAATTAAATGTTCCTTTCTCCCAGGCCTTGTATTTCATTTCTCCAAGAATTGAAAATACCCAATTCAGAAACCAAGCTGTCGCTATACGGAATGAAACTGGGCTTGCCGAGTTCTTCAAGAGCACTCTGAGAAACTTCAATTATTCTGAGGGGACTATAAGAGGCCAAAACAATGGTCTTGTTAAACAAAAAAACAAGCAAACAAACAAATCAACCAAGACTTTTTCTGGTGCATTCAAATACACAAATTCCCAAAGATAAAAATTTGGAAAAAGTGAATTGCTGCACTCAGTGATAAGAACTCTCAAACTTAACTAGCAATATTTACAATAGAAATATTTACATTAGAATTTACAATAGAAATAATTTACAATAATGGCTAATTTAGAATAAATAATTCATAACAGTGTCAAAATATCCTAACATTGGCTGGTCAGACCAGACAAAAGATGTAGAATACTGTCTAAATTTAGAGCTATGTGCTAACTCCTCTAGAAGTTGGAGGTAGCAGAGAAAAATCAAGCTAAGTAACAGCTGGGAGATGTAGCTTGGATGGAATATTTGCTTGCCTAGCACGTATGAATCTTGAGTTCAACTTCTAATACTACAAAAAAAAATTGTCAAAAAAAATGAATATTTAATGACTACATAATCAATGTTTCAATAAGAAACCAAGCTGGATGTATAAGACACAGTCATTGTATATCAACTCTGACTCTAGCCACTTAAAAGAATCATTAGGCACAGACCTGCCTGCCAACCCTGTCTGGAGGTGGCCACAAAGCATCGTCCTCTTTTGTAATTTCACTGTCGTCAATAATTCTCTTCAGTTCTTCCATTACACTCTTGTGAACATAGGCCTGAAAACCAATTACAGTAAAATCTTATAATGCCCATCTGTCTTCCCACAGGTTCAGCAAGATATAATAAAGGCAAGCTATAAACCCTAAATATTCCAACAGAATAGGAGCAAAACAAAAACAGAATTTGATTCCAAAGCTGCAGAATGAAAATTCATCCTCCTCACAATGTGTTTTTCTTCTCTCTTGTCCTTTAACACAGACCCTCGACTCTTCTCACCTCCAGCTGCTTTAAGACTCCAGTCTGAGGGTGTGACAGGAACAATCTGCTTGCTTGCAGTTAATGGAGCAGCATAAGGCTACAGAGTGAGGACACAACACAATCACACAGGAGCCACACGCTGAGCCCAGTCCACACTTCCAAGCCTCTTATTTAAAACTCACGCTTCACAAAATGAATTAAATTAAATGATGAGGTTATAAACATTCAGGTTGATTCTTTTGTTAAAAAAAAAAAAATGTTAAAATGAAAACCACCACATAGGTAAAGGCAGCCAAGACTAAAGACCTGAGTTCAATCCCTAGAATCTACATGGTAGGAAAAAACCAAAGTCTTGATTTCCACACATGCAGGCTATTACATGCGTGCGTACACACACACACACACACACACACACACACACACACACACACCACACACATACACCACACACATACACTAAAAAAACTTTTTAAAAATGCTATAATCATATGTAATTAAAAGAGAAACCTTTCCATTTAAAAATTGGTTTCTTCGTTGAAACAGAGCCTTTGAATAGCTTTTGTCAACACAGACAAGATAAATGAACAAAATAAAAAAACTCAGACATTTGAAAAGAACTTAGCCAGAGGCAGGTGGATCTTTGAGTACAAGGTCAGCCTTGTTCTACACTGCTCACAGGAGAACCAGGGTTACAAAGTGAGATCCCCATCTCAAAAGAGAAAGGGACAGAGCGAGAGAGAGAGAGAGAGAGAGAGAGAGAAAGAGAGAGAGAGAGTGCACATGCAGCTTACCTCTTTTCTGATCATCACATCGTTTTTATAATTGCTGTTGTTGGCATATCTAAGCTTTCCTGTACAGAGAGAAAGAACACCATGAGCAATTTTAAAGGGAAAGATAATTTCATATCCCACTTTTAGTAGTAAATATACTTTCCTTGTGTAAAATGAGTGATGAACACTTATTAACATAAAAGTGAGCTAGCAAACTTTAAAATGTTCCATAGCTTCAATGTCAGGTTTGTTAAGGCCTATTCTCGCCCCCTCCCCTTTCTGAGGCAAGATTCCACTGTGGCCAGGTCAGTGTCCTTGAACACACAGGGATCTATCTATCCACCTGCCTCTGTCTTCGTTCTAAGTGCTGGGATTAAAGCTGTTCATATCAAACAAGATTATTTTCTTAATCTAGCCCCTGAACTAAATGTGACTGACAAGGTACGAGTATTCTCTTCAAATGTGACATGTCGGTGCTTAAGGCAGCACTCACAACATTTCATCTGATCTCTAAAGGAATTCTAGCAGCACCTCTCACTTTCTCATCTATTCATGGGAGATAAACTCAAGTCAAGCAACTTGCTCAGGGTCACACAAGTCTCAAGAAATCTCCTCTGCTTCAACCCTGTCTCTATTATTCCAAAATATTCTCTTAGTTGCTTTCTTTCAAATTAGTGTATATGATTAAGATAAGGAAAAACTTTTTAAATTATAACTAGGCAGCATACAGATTATATAAACTGCCAGTTTGCTGGCTGATTTATTTCAAACCATCTGTCATGACCTCTGAAGCCCCCAGTGTGTGTTCCTGCATGGGCCATGGCTCAGATACAGCTGTGACGGTTTTGTCATCTGCTAAAATGATAGGTTACCATACTGGGGTGTACCCGCAGGGACTGTGAATCCCATGAGTCATTGTTTCTCATGGGAGTGGGACGATTTGGTGGCAAAGGTGCATGAGAACCAACCCATACATTAAAATGTCCCTGATAAGCATTCGGTCTTAATTTGTGTGACTCAGGGTGGTAAGGACAAGCCACATGGCATCCACAGGCAAGGGACTAAGGACAGAATTACAAAAGAAATAAGTAAAAATCAAATCAAATGAAAAACATAAGATAAAAACATACCACCACAATCACAAAAAAAAAAAAGTAATTTTGCTCCAAACAAATTATGGAGAACAAAGGTAAAGTTATTAAGTTTCTAAACAACTGCAGGATGAGTTCCTTGACTTCTTAAATGCTTGATTCTCTACTTTCCTTTCCAAAGAACCTCGCCCGAAACATGTACACAGCACTTAGTTAAAATCTATAGTCATATGATTAGATAAATGTCTTTTTGTCTCAACTTCCACCTTTAGCTTTGGCACTTAAGTACTGCCCAGTGCACAATGTACATTTCTGCCCATGTGGCAGGAACGCAGAGCTGTCCAGAGACAGAACTGCCTTACACTACATGGGAGGGGCTTCCACAAACCACTCGTGTCTGGCTTTTCACTTCCCCAAAAGATAAGAAAGTTTCTTTATCTCAAGTGTCTCATCTTCTAGGAGAAGCTTTTTTTCTTTCTTTCTTCCTTTCATTCTTTCTTTCTTTCTTTTTCTTTTTGGTTTCGGGTTTTTTGTTTTGTTTTAGCTTGGTTTACTGTATTTTATTTTTTGTGTTTTGTTTGTAACAGGAAGGATTTCTCTGTGTTGCCCTGGCTGGCCTAGAACTCAAAGAGCTCAACCTACCTATGCCTCTGCCTCTCAAGTGCTGGGATTAAAAGCATAAGACACCATTATCTGTCTTCAAGGAAGCTTTTGTTTGTTTTTCTTTTTGCAAGGTCTGATCATTTACTTATTACTCTTAAAGACTTAGTCTTTACTGGACTCAGATTTAAAAGTAGAGGCTCTCAGCAAGGACAGCGTATGTCTCTTGGAAATTTATTCCTGGTGGGGCTTTTTTTTTTTTTTTGGAGGGGAAGTTATTTTTGTTTTGTTTTTGTTTCCTTTTTTTTTCAGGGGTTGGAGGTGTGTGTGTTTGTTTGTTTTGGCTTCCTTCATTCTCTAGGCCAAGTGTTTAGTATATCCTGCAGCTTCTTAGTGTGTCATTTCTTCAGAACAATAAGCCGGAGTTGACAATCTTGGGTGCTTTGGTCCTAAACTTCTTACCTTCTTTAAGAACTTTCTGACAAAATACTGGTAGATATTGCCTTCCTCAGAGAGACTGAAAATCTTTAGGATTCTGCTAGCTCTCAGTCCAAAAAAGGGATACCCCCCCTTTTTCTTTCTTTCTTTCTTTATTTTTTTTTTTTTTTTTTTTTTTTACAATAACCAATTTGAAGACAACCAGATTGGCATGCACAACGTTTCTACTCGGTATACAGCAAGTATGCCCCTTACTCAACAGCAGGCACACTCTGCAGAGGGTCAAGAAACCTTATGTCCTGGCAAAACCCACCAAGGACTGGGACCACACAACTAACTCTCCTCCCTCTTTACCCGAGCAACAGAGCTACCTCCGCGGCCTTTGCCTGTCTTAGAGAGCACAGAGCTTGTGTTCACTGCCCACTTTAACGTGGTCTGACAGCCGGTGGCTGGGGTAGGAGATCCTCAGCTTCTTTTTAGCAGGGCTGACTACCTAGGAGGCAATTCGAAAAGAGCTTCTAGGAAGCTTTCCTTTACTGCCTTACCTCCTGACCGCCATCCATCCACGTACCTTGATAAAAGATGGCATTCCAATGCCAACACACTTCACACTCCTGTTTACACAGGGGCTTCCTCCCCTAGAAAGCGGCCTTAACACACTGACTAGGCCAAAAGGTCACCCAAAGACTGCAGGCATCTGGAGTACCACTTGGGAACACTCCATTCTAGGTTTCCGATTTTCGCTCTGTTCGACTTTTCTGATGGCGGCCGGATCCGCTTTTCTGGATAACTTCACAGCCATGTTTTCCCTCACAAGAACACCCAGGCCTGCTACAGGCGCAAGCTGGAAAGAAGCCGGCCAAGCCCTCCTGGGGGACTGGGGCGTGGTCACACACCTGCCACGCCAGCACCGCGGAGGCTGAAGCTGGAGGATCGGGAGTTCGAAGGCAGCCTGGACTAAACAACGAGGCGAGCGGGGCGCAAAACGAAACGCGTAGAGACCCACCCACCCCACCCACCCGCGGCGGCTCGCCCTCCCTCGCCGCCGCTCCGCCGCTCACCGTCCGGCCGAAACTCGAACTCCAGAAACTCGTGCCCAAACTTGCCCTTGTGCCCGACGTAGTAGCGCAGGTAGAAATCACTGGCCAAGGACATGTCTGCTGCCGCCAAAGCCCCCCGCGGCACCGCCAGGCCAACGTGCCGCCGGCGCGGGGCAGTGACGTCACGGCGGCGCGGGCGAAGGGCGTCACGGCGGGACGCGCTGGGGGCCGCAGCTTCGCGCTGGAGCGGCTTTGCTGAGCTCGCGAGCGCGTTGACCTCTTTTGGGGAAAGGGCTTTTCTATGCGTTGCTTTTCCCTTTTTTAATTGCGTGACGATTTCATACGCGGACCTGACGGATGCTAGTCACTTCCTCCTCGTCTCCCTGTCGCATCCCTTCTCCCGCCGGACCACTCTTCCCAATAAATCCTCCTGTGCTTTGACGCCTTACTTGTGTCTGGGTTGGGTGGGGGCGCTCACCGAGTTTAATAAGCGTTGCTCGCGTGAGCACGATGGCGGCTAAAGCCCCCGGATTTCATTAGGGGATTCTGTGTTGTGGCGTAACCTCCTATGCCACCTGTCCCCACCCCCTGCCCCCGCCCCTTCTGCCCGCAGTGTTCCTGCTTGCACTGTGAGGATTCGGGCATTACGCTGGCCTGCCCCTGTCACTTGGCAGAATGCACTCAGGCAGTGCCCTGGTCAGCCCAGGTGCGAAGGACCCCTTTGAAAGAGGCCCCGCCCACCCAAGCTCTTTTTCCCCGCTCCCTGTCCCGCTCTTCCCCTGGGGCAGACAGGACGTTTCCTGCCTCCCTCCTCTCTTCCGTCCTCTCTATCTCTTTTCTCTTTCCTTCCCCCACTTTCCTTTTCTAATTTCACTTAAGCTCTGCCTCGCTCACCCTCGCTTGCCTTGGAATCCACCAAGGTTCCCCGCATTATCATAACATGCACTCTCTTGTGAAGTGTACCCTGTTACCCTCATCACTCCATTTCTTGAACCAATCCCCAGGCCCCTTTCTGGTTTAATAACCAACACCCACAAGCAAATAACTACACACATGCGCAAGTTAAGATCCACATTCAAGAGTGAATGGGTTGTTTGTCGTTAATACTTAACGGTTACTACCCCTTACTTCCTATAATAATTTCCAGATTCGTCCTTTTTCCTTCAGATTTCATTATATCTTAGTAATAAACAAATAGCTTTGCTTTTCTTTAATGGGCTTGGAAGGGATATTCGTAAGCCGCTTTTACTTTCTGGTTGCCCAGTGGTGTGGGTGTGGCTTTTCTGGGTTTTGAACCTAAGGTTGACAAGCTGTACTTTTTGTGGGTATCTCTGATCTCCAATCACATTGTAAAGTGGGGTGTGACTTTACTTCCTGTAACCGGTGAGGTGAATAGAGTCTTCCTGAATCCTAACAGAAACCTTTGCACAATGTTTCACCGTTGCCCACTAGCCAACAGCCTAAAATAAGACTAAGAGAGCAAACAAAGAAAGATTTAAAAAAATAAAATTTTAAGAAGGCAAACAACGTAAAATGAATCGCTCTAGTGGGGAGTTTGATGTTCACACAGCACATGAAATTGAAAAGCCCAGACTGTCATCATGGAAAAGTTTTTCATAGTAGAACTTATGAGTCACTTCATTCAATAAGGATTAATAGTTAGTAGCCTGTTTATTTAGGGGTGGGGGGGTGCTAGGCCACAATTCTCAACAGTTTAAATTGGAAAAGTAAGGAGCTCTTTGGTGTGAGATGGTATTGAAGAGCACAAAATGACAGTGAACTTGCACACACACAGTACACATTTCAAATCCTGATCACCTGTCTGTTACCAACACTGAGTCACCTATCAGGTGACTGATTGTCCTTTGTAGTAATCCTGGGAAAGTACAATCTCAACAGGGTCACTGCCTTATTATGTCTCCACCTGTTTGATAGTTAACTAACTAGATACACAGTAATCAACTCTGCCAAACACAGAACTGAGAAAATTAAACATGGATATGATGTGCTCTGAAATCCATACAGCATGAGTTTTAACAAGTATTTCCCATGTGCCAGAACAGATGGGCTTCACTAACACAGCAATAGAGCTATTTGCACCTTCAGGCTGTAAAGAATGCAAACATGCAAAGCAAACATCAGCACAGGGAAGCAATTAGTATTACATATAGTGTACATACCATAAAGCATCCAGTAACTCCCCATAAAAGCAAGTGATGTTATATTATAGGTGGAGCCAGAAATTTATTAAAACAGGTGTATTGAAGAAGACTTATAAAGGCTGTGATATTTAAATTGGCTCTTTGATGAGAAAATTCTGTGACTGCCCTGCAGTACAGACAAGCATTTCAGGCAAGGATGACCAGTTAGGTGGAGTCCTGTGAATGTGTGTAATTGGAGAAAGCCAAAAGACACAGTTTCTACACTTGAAATCACTAACTGGAATGTAGGGTTCAAGAAAGTGGAATGATTTTTAAGGCAAGTTGGGGCAGATTCTCTTTGGTCACTATTTTTTGTTTTGTTTTGTTTTTCAAGACAGTGTTTCTTTGTGTAACCCTGGTTGTCCTGGAACTCATTTTATAGACAGACCAGGCTGGCCTTGAACTCAACAGCGGTCTACCTGCCTCTGCCTCCCAAATGCTGGGACTAAAGGTGTGCACCACCACCATCCAGCCTCTTTGGTCATCTTAATAGTTACGTAATTGTTAGAAAAATTTACTCACTCTCATAGTAGGGTGGTAGGCTGCTATTTAGGGAGATACATTAGAAGCATAAATCACCACACCTTACAACCATACAACTAGGATGACTCACCAAACCTTGCCCAGGTTTGAGGAGCTTTCTAGGATGAGAGACTTTCAGTTTTAAATTCTAGAAGGGCCTGAATTCTTACAAGAACAATTTACAGAAACTTAAGCACGCTGTTTTATAACATCTGTGAAAATATCAGTTATAATCCTTTCCACTGAATTCTACAGAGAGACTCCTTCAGTGGCCTTAATGTCCTGTAGAAACCTACATGTTTTTAGAAAACTGTCTTTACCTAACTCTTTACATTATAAATCAAGATAGTACCAAAGTAGTACCTTTGCACTGTGATCGGTATTAAGAAGTAACAGAGTACTGTGTCTTCTCCTCTCAGATGGTAGACACCAGGGATGTAAGGATGTGTTGTGTCTACTGAGGTCTTAAGTACTGCTAGTAAGACTGGGGAAACCCAATTCTTAATTTTAATTAACTTACATTAACATTTAACTATCACAGATGGCTAGTGTTTCTCATGTTGGTTAGCATAGTTAAGTAAGAGTTTCAGGCTGGGCAGTAGTGGCACAGGCCTTTAATCCCAGCATTCAGAAGGCAGAAGCAGGCAGCTCTTTGTGAGTTCTAGGCTACCCTGGTCTACAGAGTGAGTTCCAGGATAACAAGGCCTACACATAAAAACCCTGCCCAAAGGGAAAAAAAAAAAAAAGTTTCCAAGTTTCCAATATCCTTAATCGGACTGGAAGCAGTGAACTTTTTTTTTGTTTGTTTGTTTGTTTGTTTTTTGTTTTTTTCCCTTCTGTTACTCTAGATTCCAAATTAGGGTGTAATTACATTATCACCATTTCCTTGTGAAAATAAATGCTTTTATCGCCCACATAAAACTAAAGGACTGTTTCTGCCTTTGCCAACTCTGTGATCAGCTTCACAACACCTTGTGAAATCATTTTGAAGTAGGAAACAAACATTCACAACTGCAACGGAGGTGAGGTTTGATGATTCAATGTACAATATCTGTTGATAATTATCTTGCAATCAAGTGCCTTTTCAATCATGTTATTCTTTCATTTCTAATTGTATTATGTTTTGTTTTTGTTTTTTAATTGAGTCAGGGTTTCATGCACCCCAGCTGGCCTTAAACTCACCTATGTAACCTATCTGGTCTTAAACTCCTTACCAAGTATTGGTATAACAAGTGTGTACCACACACCTGCCTGTTTTAGGAGTGGTTCTTCCTTAGAGTTGTTAATGTCTTAAATGCTCTTCTGGTTTTTTATGCTTATAGGATTCTCTTCTTTTGAACTCTTTTTATGTCTCCTCTGCCCACGTATATCTTTTTGTCTATGGAAAGTGACCAAATCATTCCCTCTTTCAATTTTCAGAAACACTCTTTAACCGTACCATGATTCACACTACAGGTAATAGGCTTATGCTTTCATTTTGGATAAGTAATTTTGATTGGCTTTATATATTTATATACCCAAATGTCAGAGCATAATCCTTTAGGAAAATGAATCTATGTGCAATAACAGCCTGAAGTCTAATATATCATTCTAAAGTTAGTACATTTTAAGACGGAAAAGCCAAAGTGTGCTGTTGTATTTCTGCCCATATCCACCCTTTGTCTTTTATTCCATCATTGATTTTCCTATGGATTTTAGCATTGTCTTTTTCCACTAGTTATCAATGCTTCTCAAATAAATCCCCATCATGCTGAAACACCAAACACCTCTGTACCGCTGGTTATCAGGCAGGACAATTGATTACCATGATATGATAGACTTAATTGCGTTATTAGGTCTGGAACAGCTGGGAGGAAAAGCTGTTGCTGGATATTTGATTCCACTGTGTAAAGATAGGTCCCTGCGGTTGGTTTAATGAAAAGCTAAGCAGCCAGTAGCTAGGCAGGGATACTAGGAGAGACTTGCAGGCAAAGAGAGGAACTGGGGGTGAATTAAGGCATGCAAAGGAGATGCCAGGAGACACAGAAAACGCAGGATAGGAGGAACATGATATAACAGATAAATAAAAATAGGTTAAGCTATAAGAGCTACTTAAAAATAAGCCTAAGTTAAGGCCAAGCTTTCATAATTAGTAATAAGTCTCTGTGTTGAGAGCTGGCTGGTGGGACAGAGAAAACATGGTACAGCAAACATGCATCAGTATCATATGATTTAAACACACAGCATAACTTTTAACTTAAATTCAAACAAGCACATCCTACTAAGGACCATAGGCTATCTGTGGCCTTCTATGTTTTTGTTCTATGTGTTTAAAAAAAACGAAAAGGATGAAAAGAAATGTTCTGAGTTATGGAGGGAAAAGAAACTAGTATTTATTGAGGACATATAATATGCCATGTATTGTACAAATATATATTCTCAGTGACCCTCACACCACCCTGTGAGGTAGAAAAGTCTTCTCATTTTATACATAAAGAATCTCATTTTTGCACAATGTAGATTCTTTAATTTTCCTATCAAAATTAATTTCTACTTGTTTTATGTTTACTCCCTATTGTAGATATTGCAGTAACTATACATCAGGAAAAGCTACTTCTAGTCAATAAATACTAATTTAATGAATTGTTTCACAGTATTTCAATGGATGGTTGAAAATTAGAAGCTACCACCCATCTCAAATTACTTCTTTTATGGCATCTGCTAATGACAGCCTGGATTACTAACTCATTCTCCTTGCTTAGTTTCCTTGCTTCCTCCTACTCCTCTCTCTCTCTCTCTCTCTCTCTCTCTCTCTCTCTCTCTCTCTCTCTCTCACACACACACACACACACACACACACACACACACTTCTAACTTTGGTTCTTTAGATTTATTCTCCTTCATCTATCGGGACTAGCTAGCAAATGTGATGAACAACATTCTTAACCATGAAATGACTCCTATTTCTAATTAAACATAGTTTCAGACAGGGTCCACCTGTCTCAGAATTCAGTAAAAAAAAAAAAAAAATCCAATCTATAGTCAAGGAAAAACTCGGTATTTTTTCTTATGATTTTTCTCTAATTCTTCATGAAGGGACCAGGACTGAACAACTTTTACATCCTCTCAATGTAGAAGATACAAGATCTCTTCTTGAAGGAGAAAAGATCTCTTCTTGATTTACCTTATACTTCTCAGGAAAAGGAACCTTGAATTTTCTTTCTCAAGAATCCCTGTGTTGGGTTCCTATTCATTTGTACCATCTGATTTAATAATACTCTATAATATTTATATTAAAACACCTTTTTAGTAGTAAACCCGCCTGGGGTGGGTGGGGCCAGCCCTTTTGCCATATCCCCAACAATCATAGCAGATATTTAAATCTCCTTTAGAATGACACTGTCTGGCACTTGTACCCAGGCCCTTGGGACTGGGAAGCAGACAGACTGATGATGAGTCTTAGTTCAAAAGTACATGATGTGTAGAGGTAGAGCCTCATCCAGCAGCATTTCATATTTCTAGGAAAATGTGGGATCCATATGTTTTTTCTCCCTTTGTGTCCCATAGACATTTCCTTCCCTCTGTTCTTGGAGGAACACATATAGGCAAGCACATATAGGCACTTGCCCCAGGGCATCTTCAAAGGACAGTGTAGCTGTAGGAAAGGCTCTCTGCACTGATGCCAGCCACATCTGCATACAGTTCAGGCACCACTAACTCTGGCACTTGCAGCACGGCCTGGTCATTTGCAGATCTAGAGGCAGCTTCTAGGCGCAAGCGCAGCTCTCCAGGTAAGGGACGACGGTTCTCACTCCAGTGCCAGCAGCATTTCATGATGTTATACCTGAGATGGGAACGGCAGAGGCAAGGTGAAAGGAACATAATTCCTTTTCAACAACAAAATAGAAGTCTCAGCTCTTTGGTCTTTCTGCCCTGTCTCTCACTGTATTCCTAGACAGTGGTACTCTAGCATTCTCTTTATATCAAGTCTCTCAACGTCCTTTCAGCATGATTGCTTTTTACAATAGAAAGCTGGGGACTTCAGACTACAAAGTGACAGAAGAGCTCTGCCGTTTCCACCATGCAATGCAATATGGTAACAGGCCTGGGAGGAAATTGTCTGTTACCTTATTGCACCGCATGGTGGAAAAGATAGTTCAAACATAAGATGATTAACAACCCATCCATCAGTGTTGGGTTCTTTAAGGCCAGGCACTTTGTCTGAATGCTGCTTGTGAAAGCAAAAATTGGAATCCTCAGTGGTTGGCTGAAAATTGTATTTGAGGATGTTTATCACACACACACACACACACACACACAGATGTGTGTGATATATATAATGTATATGACATATTTATGGCTTGAACCTGAACTGTCCCCCAGGGGTCCATGTTTTAAGTGCTTGACTCCACAGCTTGTGGCACCAGGGGAAGCCTTTGAAAGGTGTAGCCATCTTAATTCCTGCCTTTTTTTTTTTTTCTGCCTGCCTGTCCACAAGCATGTGAACAAGCTGTCTGTGTACTCTAACATCCATAGACTGAGTACTGAGCTCTGCCTTCCCCGCCATAATGGGACTGTGAGGCAAGGTCAACCTTTCTTCCCTAAAGCAGTTCCCCTTGGGTAATTTGTCACAGCAATTAGAAAAGTGGCCAATACAGTTGTTGAGCAGAACTATTTTTGTTTTGCCTCGTGCTTCATTTAAGGCTGTGCCTTAGCAAATAAGGGCAACCAACCATCATCTGAGGCAGGCACACTTTGAAAAGAGTGTAGTTAACAGGGACCAAAACATGACTCGGAATTACAGAAACTCGAGCCTTTCAGAGCCACTTACATGGCATGTGTGCAGCTGCTGGGTCTCTTCATGATTTTCCCTCTCTGAAGATACTGTAGAATGCTAGTGGGAGGGATTTCCGGGTATGGTGGCGCCCCTGTTGATATGAAAAACACGAGAGCAGCTCTAACTAGGAGGTGAAAATAGCTCCAATACCCATTGACCTGAGACAGTAGTGGCCTTTAAACCATAGTCACGGGGAAATGCGGTGTGCTGTATACTTGCTTCCTGATGATTGTGTAAGAATGCAGTGGATTTCAGAAAAGCTGTTTTGGAGAAGAAAGGTAATATTAGGAGTTCCTGAGTTTTAAGGAAAGTAACAAAGCATAGCGAAAGAGGGAACAAGACCTGCCTTCCACTCTCCATGACACAGAAGGGGCTACAGCTTCTAAATTGAATGGATCAATAAGCTGGAATAAAACATTCTTATGTTTATATAAGATGGCTATGGGAGTTATCCTTTGGGTTTGAAGACATTTCGCAGAGTGGGTATGGTTTGGGGGAAAGGAAGGGTTAAAAGGAGAACTAAAGAAAGTTAAGGACAGTCTAGGAGAGGGAGCGAGAAGAAAAGGACCATCATTCTAATAGGCTTTGGAAGGAAAGAGGCTCAGAGTCCATGTCAACCCAGTGCAATCTGGCCTGGCCTGAAAACATGTCCTCAAAGGCCATAACATCCACCCTCCAAATAAGCAAGCTTGTCTGGAAGTCATCCTTACCTAGAGTCACCATCTCATAAAGCAGGACCCCAAAGGACCAGCTGTAAAAGAAACAAAGCCATCCATTTACTTTATACCTTTGTCTTTACAAAAGAAAGTTTACTTTAACATCAGCAAGGAAATGAAGGAGTCGAGGAGAGCTGGAGTATTTTAAAAAGGCAAAGTAACAGTTATGAGAGAGCATTCCTGCCCATGTCCCTCAGAATCTCATCTCTTTGAGGACTGAGTCTGTGCCCCTTCTTCACAACACATGTTTGCTGGTGTTATCAGCACATGAGTGTGCAATCACAAATCCACTCACTGAAACAGAACATTCCCCTTTTCCTTTTCCAGCTTTCCCTTCCCTCTGTGCTCAAAGTCCAGCCTCTACTCAGCCCAAAGCAAAGATGGGTTCTTCATTTAACCATGGCTTTCTGGGTGGATTTTTACTCAAACCTAGAAAAAGTACTAGTAAACCTTAGACATTTGAACAGGGAATTTGGCTAATCAATATGACGTGAGAGGTACATACATCACTATTGATACCGTCATTAAATGAATGGATTTTATAGAAAAATTCCCCACAGTCTGTTGAAAAGCAGGTATCAGTGATACACCCATGGAAGCATCCTACTGGCTCATTGCCCTGGTGTTTAAATCCCTGCCACCTTCTGTGATATGAACACCAAGGAAGGCATTCTGCCTCAAATTTGTGTGCCTGTTCAAACAGCTGATATATGTGATTTCCAAAGATCAATTTCAGTTCTTTGCAACCTTGATTATACAGACTGTATATGGAATTATAGTCAAGGGATCATCTAAATGGTATAGATGCTACTTACATGTTTGCATAAGATGTATCTTTAAAAATAAGTTGAATCTTTTAAAACTAGTCCATAAGAGTAAGCTGCTTAAAAGAGAATGTGCTAGACTAGTATTACATACCTGTAGTCCCAACACTTGAGAGGCTGATGAAGGAAAGGGAGCGAGAAGAAAAGGAACCATCATTCTAGTAGGCTTTGGAAGGAAAGAGGCTCAGAGTCCATGTCAACCCAGTGCAATCTGGCCTGGCCTGAAAACATGTCCTCAAAGGCCATAACATCCACCCTCCTTCATCTATACAATTTTTGTAAAAGATCATTCACTAAAATTAACCTGAAGTGGGGGTGGAATTGAGACAGGGTTTTTCTATATATCCCTGGCTATCCTGGAACTCCTTGTGTAGAAAAGGCTAAGTTTGAGGTCACAGAAGTCTGACAGCCTCTGCATCCCATGTGCTGCAATTAAAAGCATGCACCACCACACCCGCCTCATTTTTATTTTGTTTTAAGGACAGTCTCCCTGTATAGCCAGACTGTCCTCAAACTAGTGTATAGATGAGTTAATAGTAAAAAAAAAAAAAAAAACCATGAGGGAGGAAACAATAGACGTCTCATTGTTTCACAAATAATTTCAGGTCTCTCACTATATTTAGAACCATCTCAAAGCGACTTCTAGTCATTAGCCATCATTACTGCTGCTGTTCAGAGGAGCAATACAGCTCATATCTGGGCTTTGTGGCATGTATGTGTGACCCCTGCACTTGGGAGCTTAAGACAAAAGGATCATGCTGTATTTGCATGTTCAAGACCCATCACAGAATGTAGGTTTTTCTCCTTCAAAAGTTTGGTAAGCAAATACGCATGCAAAAGTTTTCACATAAGAAGTGGTTTGGGGGTGGAGAGATGGCCTAGTGATGAAGAGCACTGACTGCTCCTTCAGGGGGCCTGAGTTCAGCTCCCAGAACATGTGTGTTGGCTCACAGCCTCCTGTAACTCCAGTTGTGAAGATCTGACACTCTCTTTCGGCTACCAAGAGCTATTGTACATACACGGTGAACATAATTAAGTGAATATTTTTTTTAAGGTGACTTGACACATTATAAACGTTTTATTTCAAATCCTTCATTTCCTGACTCTTAAGTGAAACCATGACCTAAAAGTTAATGCAAGGCTGCTACAGTAAGTCCCCCAACATTGATTTGAGTAATATTTTCACTTGTTTCTTTCCTAATAAATCTGCTAATCTAATTCACAAGAACTACATACAGGAAAAAGCATTTTTTTTTTTTTTTAACAAAGGAAAGCAGATGACAAACGTTTTCACTTGAGAGTATGTCTGATTTCAAGTGCAGACATGGTTGACTGCGGGAAACACCAGACCTCAAAGACCAGAAATGAAAGAGCGGAACATACACATCTCCTCTGATGCTTGCGGGTCTCAGGAGAAGCCGTTCTGGAGCAAGCCACTTGAGAGGGACAGCACTGGTGCGAGCAGAGGAGATGGCTCCTTGGGTATGGACTTCATAAGCCAGGCCCAATCGGCAGAGTTTAACAGTCAGGTCACTTTGGATCAGGATGTTCCTGGCGGCTACATCCCCATGAAACAGGTTCTTATTCTGCAAGAATTCCTATCAGCAGATGATCAAAGGTAATCAGCATTCTGCAGGTCAAAGTTCACAAATAAGACAGTCTTGGGTGGCCTTCAAAAGACAAGAACCTTCTCTGCTCCAAACATTCTCGTGAGTCAATGAGACCATTTCCAAAGCAGGATAGGGGATTAGACCTCTACACCGTATGTATGTATGTTTAGGGTTACCAAACTCGGTGAATGATCCAAATGGCACTAACACAGGATTTCACTCCAGTGCTAAGGATGGCTCCTGTTACTTCATGTGTTGCAGCTGTACCACACACCCATCCTAACACTGCACTTGGAAAGCATAATGCATGAGCTGTGTCAAGCCTAGCCCCTCCTCACTCCTGATCATACTTTCCCTTCAGATGGAACTCGGGTCGCTTCTGGAACAGAGAGCAAAGAATACAGAAAAGCTGAGTGCTGTGTCATAAATGTATACAAACGTTCAAGTCATCTCACTCTGTCCTTTGAACTAGATGAAGTTAAGGAAGTATCGTAAGGCAAATCCAAAGGAAGACAGAAGGCCACACGCCCATTAGGTGACTATGACCATAAGCCAGTCCCTTAACCCTGGAAGTGCTGCAACTGGAGCAGGGCTCCAGATCAAAATTCTCTGAGCACTTGTAAGAATAAACTCTAAGACTTTTTAGCACAGATTTACTAGATTTACATCTAGAAAGAGAGAGGTAGTGACTTGTAGTACAGAGAATCAAAGGATTGCAGTGTAGCTAGAAAGGCGGGTGACAATCACAAAGGCAGGTAATGTCTGCTGGATCACCTCCTCTGGCATGAAGCCACTCAAGCTGTGTGTGACCGAAAGCCAGAGATCTGGGGCTCTGATTACCAAACACTGACAGCAAAAGGAAATGTAGAGGGTTAAAGTGAAAGTTCCCACTCACTGATGAAGAAGGAGACCACACCTAGCAGTCTGCTGTCGCATGGGAGTTTTTAGAACAAAGAGATTAATTGTGATGAGCAGAATTAAGGAACATATAAAATGATCATCCTATAATAAGAAGAACCGAAGAATGTACTAAATTTAAATCATGACGGGTGACTACAAAAAAAACATAGCCTTGCCTGGTAACAGGCGATGCAAGTGCCTGACAGACGCACCAGTTTGACCAGTACACCCTTGCAGGATAGACAGCTCCGCGCTTATGATTCAGGAGGCAAAGTGGGCTGAAGCTACTAGTTTAGCAAGGCTATGGCTACATCCTCCAAGAAGGGCAGATAACTGCTGTGTGATGGCTTCTCTCCCCATCCAATGGGAGTTCCAACCAGAGCTACTTCTCCTTTCTCGTATCACCTCCTTTTTACTCCTCTTTTCCTAATTTCATTTAAATGCCTGGTGGGCCAAGCACGCAGCTCCTTCTGTGTAGAAGGCATGAGTTCAATTCCCCATACTATTACCCTTTAGACCCTCATCCATTTCACATATTGTGGTAGCAAAATTCAACAAAGTTGAACAACAGAGCCTTGATTTTTCTTTCATAGAAAATATCCATTTGAAATACATCCAAATAATTTCTCAGCCATAGCTGTATAAAATTCCTGAGTAATTTTGATAAAGATATTTTTTTTCTGAAACCCTAAATTCTTTGAGCCTCTTTAATTTGGTTTAAAATGAACAGTTGGACTTTCCTGTTCTTATCTTTCTCTTCCCCTCGTTCCTTATTCTTTGGAGTTTATTATATGTGTGTATATACACACATGCATATTTCACATCACATCTATTATCAAAGCAAGTCTCCAATCAAACACAATCTGAGCTAGTTTGTCTTGCTTTTCAGGTAGAAATCTGTACCCTTCTTCATCCTTCCACCTATTAGCTTTCTTCCCTCACATCTCTACCATCATACTTCCGCATTTCCTCTTTTACAGGTACACAGGTTCAAATACCAAATTAATCTTGACCCTAGCTTTTGAAATTTAAGCTAAGTAAACGTTCATATATTTCTAGTTTGCTGTATCAATCCTAAATGGGCCGTCTTCTGCCTGGAATGCTTTATACTACACTGTATAACCTAAATAACTTCGTAAATAAGGGACTGAAAAACAAACTGTTGGTGAATAGTCTGCCCTACCTTTATCTAACTACCTTTAAAATATATACCCCATTCAGAATTATCAGTGTGGGAAATACAGCATAAACCCAGGCTGACAAGAAAACCCCACTGTCAGTTTTCATGGATGCTGATCTTACCAGGGCCAGAAGGACCTGCTTTCCAATGTGATATATTTGTTTTTCTGTGAGATCGTAAAGCAGGCCATATGTGGTCATCACATCCTAAAGAGACAGAGGAAAGAAAAACATAGAAAAGTGATTTGCACATAGTTTCTTCCTAAATCGGTGACAGAGAAGCTCTGCAGTATACATATCAAAGCTAAGGGCGCCATAAAAATACAAGAATTAAGACTCAAAGAGATGGGGCTGGAGAGACAGATGGCCAGAGGGTGAGGGAGCGTGTCACCCAGCCTGATGACCTGAGTTCCTTCACATGGTGGAGGCAGAGAACTGGCTCCCACAGTTTGTCTTCTGGCATCTGTGTGCTCCCCCACCACACACAGAGGAGCGAGCTGGCTCATACGCAACTGAGAAACCAGGGACACTGGTTTCTTCAGCTCTTTAGGAAGGAACATTTAGAGAACTAAGGATATTATTATTATTGTTGTTGTTGTTTTAATAACTTTTTACTTTTTGAGATTATAATATAATTACATTATTTGCCTATTCCCTTATCTCTAAACTTCTCCTTGTTTACCTCTCCCTTTGCTCTCTTCAAATTCACAGCCTCTTGTTACATGTGTATATGCATGTATGTATATACATATACATATATGTATTCATAGATATACAAATATAGCCTGCTTAGTCTGTATGTTACTTGAATGTGTATGTTTTCAGACCTGATCATTTCATATTGGAAAACCAATTATTATGTTCTTCCCTTACTAGTTTTTTTTAAAAAGGAAGTTCATTATAGTTAGAAACTTCGTTTTTAAGATTTTGACACACAGATGCTTACGGCTGAATTTCTCCCCTGTCAGCCCTGGCACACTTGGGTGCTTTTACAGAACAGGAAATACACTTAGCAGCATCAACAGAGTAACCATTATCACTGAGAGTGGTACATTGTTATGTCATCACCATTTTTAGCAGTTACCATCTTGATTGCTTATTAAGTACCATTGCTACTGATTTGCATACATAATGTCTCTGATATTTTATAATGATTTATTTAAAAAACTCGGTTAAGAATTATTTGTCTAGGCTAGGCATGGTAGCACATGCTTTTTGTCCCAGCACTACTCAACAGTCAGAGACAGGAAGATTGATGTCTACATAGTGTGGTCTACATAGCAAGTTCCAGGACAGATAAGGCTACAGAGAGAAACCCTGTCTCAAATAGTAGCAAAAAAAGAAAAAGAAAAAGAAAAGAAAAGAAAGAAAAACTTGCCAAAGTCATAAAGTTAGGCAGTGGAGGCAATAACCAGTCTTTAAATGTACATTACCCAACAAGAAAGTGACGAATCTCAAGTGTATATTTCAACCCACAATGTGTACAGTTGCCCAACATAAAAATGAAAAGTTCATTATCTGTTTCTCCTGCTACATGTCAAGTGTTTAACAATCACATGTCACTTTGCACAGAACAGATATGGAATTTTTAATTTTTTTAGTCTGGGTCTCATGTAACTGATGGTGGCTTCAAAATGGATGTATAGTTGAGAATGACCTTGAACTCAAGATCTTTCCTGGTGCTGGAATTACAGTTATATGCCACCACACACAGTTTTATTTTGTGTTGGGGGTCAAATACGGCACCTTTTGCTAGACAAACATTGTACCAACTGAGCCGTATCCATCCTTAGCTGCGTGATGATTGTTTCACACTTAAACTGTCATAGTGCTATTCAAAAGGGGTCATTATTTCACCCATAAATGGTCTGCATATTTTGTCATTTGTGTGTTCATTGGTATATGAAAAGCTAACCAAAGCTTTCCTCTACTAGTATAGCTTCTCTGCAGCTCACCCTGCGACAGGTCCAGAGAAAGCTCAGCAGGTCTCCGGGGACCACATCCTCCAGCACCATGTACAGTGGCATCCTTTCCGTGCAGCATCCTTCCAGCTGCACCAGGTTCCTGTGTTTCCCCAGGTACTGATAGAATTGGATTCGCCCTATGAAATCCTGGACCTCCTGGAGTCCAGTAGGTTCTATAAAAAACAGAAGAACCAGGTCAGTGAATAGTCAAGCACAGCTGATGAGTAGGAGGCAAGGGGTAAAGGACATGAGCAGATGGCATGGCAGTGTCCAAGTCCCCTTGTGGAAAAGGAACCAAAAGTGGAAAAAGTACAGCTAGAAAGGGGACAGGCGGGAGACCATGTAGAAGAGAGTGATACTCAGTCAACAGTGCTTTAGCAGAAACAACACACAGTCAAGGGTCTTAGACCTGGACAGATTTTCACCTGCCTGAATAGACAGTTCTCTGTATTCCATTACTGTCTGGACCTTTGGGTCGACACTTTTGCTTATGTTAGCCCTTCCTTGTTTTATTTTCTATGTATCCAGAGAGAAAGAGGAGGAAGGGAAGGAGACATGATATCAAAGAAGGATATAAGGACCAGAGAGATGATGAAAGCCAGTGGCTGGTGATGTGGATGTCTGATGACTTTTCAGTCACTGGAACCCAAATGGAAGGAAAGAACCAACACCAGAAAGTTAACCTCTGACCTCACACTTATGTGGCACACACCTGCACTCACACACACATGCCATGCACACACACACACACTAAATTAATTTAAAAAGAAATCAAACAGTAAAGAAAATACTCCATAATCCTATGCCAAGCAGCATCTACTATCTACTATGGAAAGATCTATTTTACTGGCCTCAGTAGGCAAGGGTGAAGTAGAGATCTAAAGACCCAAGAAGAACAACTCTGCATCAAGCTTCCCTTATACACAATAAGCATATCTGCTGATACGTATGTCTGCAGTTCCTGTTACTGTTTACATGTACAGGCTCAGAGTGGAGAAATAAAAAGAGGAGTTGGTCTTCATACTTTACCTTCTAAAACCTTGAGGACAACACTCTTTGGCTTAGGGTCATCTCTGGTGTTCATCATGGCATGATAGAGGGTCCCACAACTGCCATCGTAGATCTTTTCCAGAACATCTGAGAGTTGTTCCCTGGGCAGCTGAAGCTTAGCCAAGGGAGGTGTGGCTGCTCGTAGAAAGCTCTCCACAGAGGAGGTCTCCTTAAGTGGTAGGAGCACTTTTTCTCCTTGACCCGCTGCCTCCTGGCTTAGGTCCCTAGATGCAGGTACAGAGGCCGTACCTAGAGCAAAGAGACAGTTATCTACCATCTGTCCCCATGCCCTGAGGACACTAGAAAAGCAGACTTAACAAACTAGCCAGACAGATTGTTCAATGACTAACACAAGGGCATCTTCTGATACTGTTCAGTGAATGAGTACCAACACTGAGCTTCTACAATGGTCACAAGAATTCTACTACTTGTAGAAAAACTAAAGATGAAGCCCTTGAGAGTGGTCATGTTTCTTCTTAGTCATCCTTGGGATTACCTTCAGTGTTCCCATGAGCACAGAGGCAGGGCAGTTCTGAAAAGGAATCTGCACCACAGGTACCAAGAGGTGGTAGTCACTGTCTTAAATCAGTCACATGACTTTCAGAATTCAAGGAGGGGTATAGGTAGACACTCAGCCATCAGCTGTGGCTTTTTTTTTTTTTCCTTCAGGTTACAATCAAAAGTGAAATCATTCTATATTTCTATATTTCCATGACTCTTAGTCAAAGGGTCTTCTGAGACTGTCTCCCATCCATAGCTACCTTTCCAGTTGCCTAAAAGAGTTTCCTTCTGACTTCAGAAGCGCATTCCCCATGGAGGGATACTCCCTTAACCTAAAGACAGGAGGGAGGGCCTAGGACCTACTCCAAATGACTTGACAGATTCTGATGATCCTTTTTGGAAAGCCTGACCCCACTACCCCGTGGAGTGGGTGGGGAATGGGATGGGGGAGGTCAGGGGTACATGGGAGGATGGGAGGGAGAGGGAATAGGGATTGATATGTAAAATAAGAAATAATAAAAAGAAAAAGTTCCCTTCTTAAATTCCCAATCATTTCTTAATCAGCCTGTCTGTTCAGTAAGTATTACCATATACCATACACTGTCTTTGACGATAGGCACAGTTCGTATCTGCCTAGGATTAGTTTTAATCATAGGACATTAAGAATGGATGAGGTAGGGTTATGGGAGGAAATAGACAAAGGAGATGCTATTTTATCTATAGAAGTAAAAAGGGGGGCCTTTCAGATATGGTCATGTTTAATAAAAGCCTAGAAGCAATTACAGAGCAAGCCAGGATGACACTGTAGTAGATAGAACAAGATGTATGAAGGCACCAAGAGAAGAATGCACAGCAGGTGTTTAAGGAGAGGCCAGGAAGGTAGACCAGATGGAAGGGAGATGCCTGGAGAGATATGGGAGGGCCAGAGAGTCCAGATCATACAGGGCCATGGGAAGAACCTTGCTATTTTCCATTCTGTGAAACACAATAAGCTATTGGATGGTCTTAAACCACATGAACTGAGACCAATCGAGGAATTCATAAATCATTTCGCATTGTCAAGGCGGAACTAGGTCAATGTAATGTTAGAGGCAGTTAGAGAGAAAACCATTAGGAGTTCAAGATGCAAATGGATTGGATCTATAATTTGTAAAATCTGATTATGATTGGAGCTATTGAAATTGTGGCCTACGATTTCCTTAAAATCAATCTTCCCTGAGCCCATGCCTAGCCGTAGGGTTTGAGCCTTACCCTTGGGTCCAGGGCGCTGCCTTTGGGATCTCTGTCCTCTAATGAAAAGCCACAGGATGATTGCAAGAAGGATGAGGAAGCCACCAACCAGGAGAGCTGGAACAATGATTACTTCATACTGTTGCTCCCGAACAACTGTGTAGGCCATAAACAGGAAGAGAAATAAGAAGCCTGCAAATTTCCCCTACCCACCATGTCTCAGTGTTCCTGGTTTCCCCTCATTTCTTTCAATGGAGGCCTAATAAGAGTCAGTTCTTCTATCCTGATCTCTGACTGGCATGTAGCTCCCACTGCAAAAATGATGCCTACTACAAATGAATCCAGCCCTCCTCTAGAACCATCCAGAACTCAGTCTCTATTATTACAGCATCAGATCATAGGCAGTTGTGGCGTCTGCTCTTACCACACAGCTTGTCACTGAGACTGCATTCCAACAGTACCCGACTTGGGTGACCCTTCTCTCCCATCGCCACAGGGCCAGCCTCCTCTACAAGGCCCACTGGGGTGCACAGAGAACAGCCACAGTGACGCGGTATTTCCAAGGACTGTGTGTGTTATTCTAGAAAAAAAAAAAAGAAGGGCACATGTAGACTGATGGGAGATGTCATTCTGTAAATATGTTTCTCTTATTGGTTAATGAATAAAGAACTGTTGGCAAATAGGAAGGCAAGATAGGTGGGACTAGGAGACAAGGAATATTCTGGGAGATACAGTAGGAGATTCAAGATGTAGAGACTTGAGAGGGGAAGAGGTCCGGACCCTATCTCCGGGAAGATTAGACCATGTGAAAATACTTAGATTAATAGAAATGGGTTAATATTTAAGATAGAGCTAGCTAATAAGAAACGCTAGTAACAGGCCAACAGCTTTGTATCTAATACAGCGTCTCTGTGTTTTTTGGCTGTGGGACCAGGCTGGCGGGAAAACTGCTTGTAACGGTAGAAATTTTAAACACATGTATGAATCTCTAGCTACTCAGCACACAGTGGCCTCCCTGGGCCACCACTTCTCTCTGCTGTTTTGTCTGGGATTCGGGCTGAAGAAACATTCTTTTTCTCCTGAAGCATTTGTATTTCTCACTTATACAGCTTTCCAACCTTGATCCCTTCATGTCATTGCTAGACTTCTGTGACCACACTGAAGTAGGGACCCATAGCACCATCCTGACCCACACATCTTTTAAGTGACATCTAGAGACCTGTTTCTTTCTGAAGAGAGGCAGCAATTCCTGCTCTTCCATGTATCTATCGACCTACCCTTTGCCCTTGCTCAGAGACGAGGTGGCTCCAGAGTCAGGGCAGCCTACTGCTTTAATTCTGACTAGTCTGAAACTAGTCTGATTTTCCTGCTCAGCAATCCCGGGTGGTCTCATTCGGTAGTGATTTGATAAAAACAAAACTGGAAGTGCAGCTGACATGATGTGATGCTAAAGTCGTCCATTAGCCATCCTAGGTCTCCTATGGTTACATACTGAGTTTTACTATTGATGCTGATGATCAAAGACTCTCTGCCCAAAAAACATGAACAAAGAAATCTCCCAGATCCAGCCCCATGCCTTTTCACTTTTCATTATTCCATGAATACATATTGCATATCACAATTAAACAGCTCAGAAGGGAGGTGGGTGTATGGTCAGCTAATGGGGGTGGTGGAAAGTGGGTGGTGAAAAGTTACATGAAAGAGAGAGAGGGAGGGAGGGAGGGAGGGAGGGAGGGAGGCAATTCCAACACTGAGGCAGGAGGATCTCTTGAGTAGGAGGCCACCCTGGTCTATATAGTGAGCTTCAGGACAGTCAAGACTACATAAAGAGACCCTGTCTCAAAAAAATAAAAACAAAAGAGAGAGAGAAACAGGAAGAGGGAGAGGGTAGTGGGAGGGGAAGAATTTTTTGTCTGTGAGTTTGTACACAGCAAGTTATCTCTGAAGCCAGTGAACAATTAAGACAGCGAAAGCTACCTCCTTCATGTACATGGTGAACCAAACAAGCAAAGAGAAAGCAGGTCAGAAAGGTTCCACCCTTCTGAGACCACAGGCCAGTGGGAGCAAAGGAGATGGCCCTGAAACTAACCCAGAGCTGAGCTGGGTGCTCAGAGTCTGCTGGAAAATGTAGCAACGCCCTGGGCATTCTTGTTCTTTTCCTCTTGCTTCCTTTTCAGGATCTTATCAGATACAAGTAATCATTTTTGTGCAGGGAGCAGCCAGTTGAACGAGTTTGGCTCTCTGGGGAGTAGGTGCTAGGAACACAATCTCTCTACACAGTACAAATGGGAAAAAAAAGGAGTCAGCAGCCAGCTCAGACTGTGAGCTCTGCCCAAAAGCCAAACCACTGGCCACCAGCATAAGGACGTAACCTGAAGACGTGCCCAGACCCCACCCTGACCTGGCTACAGCCAAACTCACCTCCCCTGGGTGACCCAAATCCTCCCTTCCTCCCCATGCCCTGAGACACCATATGGCCTTCACTTACCCTCCCTGAGCCAGGCTCTCACCACGGCTTCTCCTTGTCTCTGGCAGTTTAAGGTAACTAGGATTTTTAATAACCGGCAAGCCAATGAAGCAAATGCACTCTGAAGCTGTCTCCAAGATATTCACACGGCATGGAGGAAGACTTGAGGGTGAAGGTATTTGCTGCACTAGCCTGACAACCTGAGTATCCGCGGAACACAAGCGGCGGAAGGGAAAGTTCCCAAAACTTGACCCCTGACTACCACACAGGCACCACGGCAAATGTTTGTGTATGTCTGTGTGTGTGCAAATGTTTGTGTATGTGTGTGTGTAAGACATGTTTTAAAATGTAGAAAGAAAAGGAAGATAATTGTACAATAATCTCCAATTTGCCAAAACGCATGTGGCATATAACAAATGACTCCAGGATTTTTAAAATTTGCACACCAGGGATACTTAGTAGGCATATCCGGATAGCAATAACATATGCAGGAAACCTTGCCTTACAAATCCCTATCTTCCTCCAAGCTTGTGCATCAAAAGATATTCACATTTGCTTGTCACAGCAAGATTACTTGCTATGCCACTTTCCCCCTGAAATTAGTAATTGACTAACAAACGGCTTAGTCTATTGGTCTGCATCAAGCTGAGAAAAGGCATGACTTTATGCTTGATCCTCTGAGATGGTTCTTCTCAAGGCTTAATCTGACTCTTCTAGAAGAATCCTATAGGGAACAATTATACTTATAAGATATAACAAATATGTTAAATTAATTCGTAATACTAATAAATAGGCATAATAGTTAAGTGTTGGAGTCCTAAGCCCTATAGCCCATAACTACTAATAACTACTTAAATCCCATGTGGCATCTACCTACAGGGCCACTTAGGTGCCTGAGAAGAACATTAATAGATTAATAATATAATTGAAATTACAACTATGGTATATATTAAGACCATATTTATAAAAATACTATACTAACATTTACACAATTTTTTTTAATCTTGTTAAAAAAAATTGTAGCATGGCTACAGCTTCTCTTATATGGGCTGCGAAATGCTGCAAATCGTTAAGAATGTAAAATGTTAGTCCACAGTGAGTGCCACAAATAAGAAAATTCATGCATTGGAAGCAAGGGACTCTTGCAGCTGCGCTATTCTTTATTTTGACCCTCATTTGACAGTTGCAAAATATGTTTGTATATAACTTGCCTACAGTTTGCATGTATCTGTACCTGCCCAATCTCTCCTGGCAGAGTTCTGCCTGACACAAAAATATTGCCTCACCGGTGAGCTATTCCTTGATTTTTCTCCTCTCAGCTACTCCAATGTCAATTTTCCTATAAAAGGGTTAATTTCCCCCCTTGAATTGAGACAGGAGACATAATTAGAAAGGTGAGCGAAGGCCCTAATTTATTGCAAGACAACATTGCAGACTCTATAGAAGTAAGTGATAATCATAATTTTACTAAATATCAATGCTAACTCTCAAACTGCTATACGGATTCACAACACAACACAACCACAACCACAGGGAGTGTCTGCACCTGTTTCATCGAGTCAGGGGCAGGTCTGTTTGCAACCATAACACAACTCTTCTTCCTGACTTTTCTATTTGGTTATCACAATATCACCCCACCCCAGACACAATCCCCAATATACCTACAAGTTTCCAAAAGAAATTCTCCCCACCGAAGCACAGCCGTGCACAGGACTTGGGAAATCATCTTGTCCTGCTAGCGCAAAAGCTCTGTGTGTGCTACAGAAATGTCACTGGGATGGCATCTGTTCCACTGAGGTGTGAGTCTGTCTGTCTGAAGCTTCATTCCCAATCTCAGCATCTGCACAACAACCCTCGTGGATCTGCCAGCAAAGTGGTTTTCAAAGATCCAAGTGACTTACCTCCTGGCAAACACAATGGCTCAAGGGAGTTATTAACAGTTAAGGGCTATGGGGCAGAAGTCCTCAATACTTTAAATGGGGGAAATTTTATGGAGGAGGAAGGAGCCCAGGCTAAGAAGGTCTACTTTTGTTCCTAAGTCATTGACTACCCTCCTCTCCTTTCTACTCCCAAGCTATCCAACAAGGAAGCTCACTTGCCAGAGAGAACACATTCAGTTAGCAGTAAGAGTGAGGACTGCTCAGACCGGGAAGAATTCAGTATGATTTGTGTTCAACATCCCAAAAAACAAGCTATCTTTCCTGATTTCAGATCTTATATACCAAGAAAAGACTGCATGCCAGTTATTGTGATAGGCTCATCCATGCCAAAGAGGAAAGGCAGAAACTGAGCCATTCCAATACAAGTGATAAAGTCTTTTTTAGCCATGTGAGCAAATGGCAGAAAAGATTTCTTATCTAGGCCCAGATCTCTTATTTATATATATATAGTGTGCTCTAAACTGCTGCATACATGCACCTGTATATGTATGCATGTATGTGCACACACGCACACACACCTTCAATTCTGTCTTTATGATCTGCTTTTTGAGTGTGAAGACTCAGTTCTGAGGAATAGTAGTCTTTGAATATGCCCCATAGCCAAGAAGGTTCTGATCTCATTGTCCAAAGGGACAGAACACTGGATGAGGACTCGGGATCCCTAGGTACCTCTCTTATACTCGGGCTCTTCCTCTCTCCAAGACAAACCTGTGAGACACCGTACAAGAAGACAGAGGCAGAGGCAGGCATATCTGTGTGAGTTTGAGGCCAGGCTAGCTTGGTCTACACAGTGAATTCCAGAACAACCAGGACTATATACTGAGGCCTTGTCTCAAAAAAACTAACACACACACACACACACACACACACACACACACACACACACACACACGCACGCACGCACGCACCTCCTCACAGTTTCCTCCACAAATTCTTCTCGTCTGTTCTCTATCTCTCTGGCAGACAGAAAGGTTCAAGCTAAGGTTAAGAAGACAGACAAGAGGACCATGCATATACATACCCTCCTCCTCCTCTCTCTTCCTTCTTCCCTTCCTACCTCCTCTCTCTCTCCCTCCCTCTCCCCTTCCCCCCCCCCACACCTCTTTCTCAGGCCAACAATCAGGAAGTCCACTTAGCTGCCTTTACCTAAGTACAGTGTCATGCAGGGTGTGG